TTAGGGACATCATAAACTATGGTACTAACAGCAAAGACATCATTAGGGACAACATAAACTATGGTTCTCACAGCAAAGACATCATTAGGGACAACATAAACTATGGTTCTCACAGCAAAGACATCATTTAAAGGGACATCATAGACTATGGTACTAACAGCAAAGACATCGTTAGGGACAACATCCAGCAGTACTCACAGCAATACATCATTAGGGACATCATAAACTATGGTACTAACAGCAAAGACTTCATTAGGGACATCATAAACTATGGTACTAACAGCAAAGACATCATTAGGGACATCATAAACTATGGTNAAGCCATCAGCCAAATATGAAGATTCTATACCTTTTAATTCTTCAGAAGAAGTCGTTTGAAGTTTTTGACATATTTGACCCCTGTGACCTTGAAAACAGGTCAAGGTCATTTTCGTTCTCAAATTTTGTAGGGCTCCTACCAACGAAGCTTTCAGCCAAATATCATGACTCTAGGCCTATCCGTTCTACAGAAGAAGTTGTTTAAAGGAAAAGTTGACAGACGAGGACGGACGACGGACGCCGCGCCACGGCATAAGCTGTGCCAGGTGAGCTAGTAACCAGGGTAGTCTCATAGTAACATTGTAACCATGGTATTGTCATAGTAACCAAGATAGTAACATTGCAATCATGGTAGTGTCATAGAAACATTGTAACCAGGGTAGCATCATAGTAACATTGTAATCATGGTATTGTCATAGTAACCAATATAGTAACATTGTAATCATGGAAGTGTCATAGTTACTTCNTTTTTGACATATTTGACCCCTGTGACCTTGAAAACAGGTCAAGGTCATTTTCGTTCTCAAATTTTGTAGGGCTCCTACCAACGAAGCTTTCAGCCAAATATCATGACTCTAGGCCTATCCGTTCTACAGAAGAAGTTGTTTAAAGGAAAAGTTGACAGACGAGGACGGACGACGGACGCCGCGCCACGGCATAAGCTGTGCCAGGTGAGCTAATAACCAGGGTAGTCTCATAGTAACATTGTAACCATGGTATTGTCATAGTAACCAAGATAGTAACAATTTAATCATGGTAGTAACATTGCAATCATGGTAGTGTCATAGAAACATTGTAACCAGGATAGCATCATAGTAACATTGTAACCATGGTATTGTCATAGTAACCAATACAGTAACATTGTAATCATGGAAGTGTCATAATTACTAGGGTAGTATCATAGTTACATTGTAACCATGGTATTAATTGTCATAGTAACCAAGATAATAACAATTTAATCGCGGTAGTAACATTGTAATCAGGGTAGTGTCATAGTAACATTGTTACATGGATATAGTGTCATAGTGAACTGAAATAAAATTACTTCACACTCTAGAGCTGAATGTTCTCTGTGACATTATATAATTACTGACCTTTTTTAGGGGGATGGTGAATGTTTACACCTCAAGAAAAATTAACATACAGAAGAAAATATATTCACAGTCATATTATTTTATTTTATATGTGCTGTTTGTAAAACTGTTACCTGGGTATATGCAACAAAAATATCAAATATCTATTCTCTTGCTTTTTTCAGCTGTTTCTGAATATTTGTCTGCTTTTTGTGATGACCAACCTTTGTGAAGAAGTATATGCCTCTTATGGCTGTAGCAAATATTGTCAGGGCATATAATAACTTCTGGCCTGTCAGACGAAATGCAGCTTCCTTCAGAGATTTCCTCCTCTGGCTTAAATACTCATTCCTGATACAAAGACACTGTAAAAGACAGAGGGATAGAATTTTGAACAAAAATAATATCTAAATGTTATTTAACGTTTCTAATCTGAAACATATGACATAATCTATTGGTCAGATTAATTTATTCAATCCAACACCCTGTCAGACACAATATATTAATATATTCACAGAATACACAGGCCTTGTTTTCAATAGAAAGGGGAATACAGCATTTTGTTAGATCATAGGATCAATAGGATGTCAGAATGATGGACAGGTGAAACAGGTTTCACTGTACTTTATATATAATGACATGGCACAATAAAACAGGTAATCGAGATCAAACATATAACAGATCGATGATGTTCAATACAATAAATAAGTATAACCCTTACAGAAACAGAAAGTTTGCAGCGATATCGCGGCGCACAAATCAGTTCGCCAGAACATGTTGCAAGAAGTGCACAGAATATCGCCGCTAGCAGTGACATTCTGGTGGTGTTCTGGCACACATTTCATATCACCAGAATATCACCAGAATGTCACCAGAATATCGCCAGAAGTGCACCACAGATAAGGAATTTCCATGATCCTCTGTAACTTGTCTAAATAAAGCTGACCCCCAAATACAAAAATCACAAAATGGCTGATGAATGAAGGGAGAGCTCATGGTGAAAGGGAAAGTTGAGTGAAATGAGGAGGCTTTAGTCTTTTTTGGATAAAGTGACAGCATTCTTGAGTCTTATAAGGTAATGTAGAATATGTTTACTTCTATGTTTTTTATAATCCATGGTCACAAAACATGTAAAATCTTAACTGAATTACTGTTACTGTTGCATTTTCATACAACTCTGTATAAAGTTTAAATTGTGTCATACACAATTCTACTACATGTATTTAGAAGTGTAGTACATCATATCGAAATCTTGCTTTAGGTCTTGTTGTAAAATTTATACAGAAGTTCATGTTGCTTCTATAATATACAGAACTGTTTCTTATAAAAAGTTCATAATTATATACATTATATTAACATTATTGATAACTACTATTAACAAATATCACATTGTGAAATAATCCATATACATGTGTTGAGCTTTGTAACCAATCCGTGATCAATATAAGCTATGAATTATTATCTAAACTACATGTACCCCTCAACCCTGTTGCAATATTGTCATATATTTGATTGTGGGATTCCAAATCTTGCTTGCAAAGACATGCAGAGTGAGTGATTCATAATATCACCAAAACCGTAGCCTGCGGCGATATCACCACAAGTGCACCGGAACATTCTGGCTATATTGCCGCAAGTGCGCCAGAACATTCCGGTTACATTCTGGTGATAATGCCGCAACTGCACCAGAACATTCTAGTGACATTCTGGTGATATCGCCGCAACAGCACCAGAACATTCTGGTAACATTCTGGTGATATCGCCACAACTGCACCAGAACATTCTGGTGACATTCTGGTGATATCGCCGAAACTGCACCAGAACATTCTGGTGACATTCTGGTGATATCGCCGCAACAGCACCAGAACATTCTGGTGACATTCTGGTGATATCGCCGCAACTGCACCAGAACATTCTGGTGACATTCTGGTGATATCGCCGCAACAGCACCAGAACATTCTGGTGACATTCTGGTGATATCGCCGCAACTGCACCAGAACATTCTGGTGACTTTCTGGTGATATCGCCGCAACTACACCAAAACATTCTGGTAACATTCTGGTGTATTGCCGCAACTGCACCAGAACATTCTGGTGACATTCTGGTAACATTCTGGTGATATCGCCGCAACAGCACCAGAACATTCTGGTGACATTCTGGTGATACGCCGCAACTGCACAAGAACATTCTGGTAACATTCCGGTGATATCGCCGCAATACACCAAAACATTCTGGTGACATTCTGGTGATATCGCCGCAACTGCACAAGAACATTCTGGTAACATTCTGGTAACATTCTGGTGATATTGCCGCAACAGCACCAGAACATTCTGGTAACATTCTGGTGATATCGCCACAACTACACCAAAACATTCTGGTGACATTCTGGTGATATCGCCTCAAAAGCACCAGAACATTCTGGTAACATTCTGGTGATATCGCCGCAACAGCACCAGAACATTCTGGTAACATTCTGGTGATATCGCCGCAACTGCACCAGAACATTCTGGTGACATTCTGGTGATATCGCCGCAACAGCACCAGAACATTCTGGTGACATTCTGGTGACATTCTGGTGATATCGCCACAACTGCACCAGAACATTCTGGTGACATTCTGGTGACATTCTGGTGATATCGCCGCAACAGCACCAGAACATTCTGGTGACATTCTGGTGACATTCTGGTGATATTGCCGCAAATGCATCAGAACCTAGTGAGGCTTTTAGAGCAATGAAATGAGTATGACACATCATCACCAGAAACCTGCGGCGATATTCTGACGATATCACCATAAATCTAATTTGCATACGAAATCTAAACATGCGGCGCTATCGCTGCAATAGGGTGCCAGAGACAGACTATTTCTGAAAGGGAAGTTATCCTATAGCATGTTGAGCACACCAATTTGAGAAAGCTAAGAATTAGAAGTGATTCAACTGGTTAGAAACTTGTGTAATTTGTAAGGTTTTCCACTTACCAACTGAACAAATGATACAGCACTCAGCATTATAAAGATACAGCCAAACGCCAGGAAGTAGCCATTGTTGGGGTCTTGACACGTCCCTCCCGTAAACTGTACCTACAAACAGGCCAAAGTACACAATAAAAACATGTAAAGTCAAAACGCTTTAGCCATACAAATAAGATATATCAAATCAACGTCAAGTTTAAATGGTCTTATTGTATTGTTCTCTATAGCTACCAATCAGCTATTCAAAGTACCCTCTCAGTCTCGGAATGTTTAAATGTTATTAAAATTGGAACAGAAAGTGATATGTGGTGAAGACTGTGATATAATTTTTCTTTGTTTGAGCTCCATTAGATATTCAGATGGCCAAATCTACCTAGCTCCATATGTTCAAGTCTGATATGACAGTCTCAGGAAAGCCAGGGTAGAAACAGAGGAACCAGTCTTTTAGCTCCATATGTTCAAGTCTGATATGACAGTCTCAGGAAACCAGGGTAGAAACAGAGGAACCAGTCTTTTAGCTCCACATGTTCAAGTCTGATATGACAGTCTCAGGAAACCAGGGTAGAAACAGAAGAACCAGTCTTTTAGCTCCACATGTTCAAGTCTGATATGATAGTCTTAGGAAAGCCAGGGTAGAAACAGAGGAACCAGTCTTTTAGCTCCACATGTTCAAGTCTGATATGATAGTCTTAGGAAAGCCAGGGTAGAAACAGAGGAACCAGTCTTTTAGCTCCGCATGTTCAAGTCTGATATGATAGTCTCAGGAAAGCCAGGGTAGAAACAGAGGAACCAGTCTTTTAGCTCCATATGTTCAAGTCTGATATGACAGTCTCAGGAAACCAGGGTAGAAACAGAGGAACCAGTCTTTTAGCTCCATATGTTCAAGTCTGATATGACAGTCTCAGGAAACCAGGGTAGAAACAGAAGAACCAGTCTTTTAGCTCCACATGTTCAAGTCTGATATGATAGTCTTAGGAAAGCCAGGGTAGAAACAGAGGAACCAGTCTTTAAGCTTCATATGTTCAAGTCTGATATGATAGTCTCAGGAAACCAGGGTAGGAACAGAGGAACCAGTCTTTTAGCTCCATACGTTCAAGTCTGATATGACAGTCTCAGGAAACCAGGGTAGAAACAGAGGAACCAGTCTTTTAGCGCCACATGTTCAAGTCTGATATGATAGTCTCAGGAAAGCCAGGGTAGAAACAGAAGAACCAGTCTTTTAGCTCCACATGTTCAAGTCTGATATGACAGTCTCAGGAAAGCCAGGGTAGAAACAGAGGACTTAGTCTTTTAGCTCCATACGTTCAAGTCTGATATGACAGTCTCAGGAAACCAGGGTAGAAACAGAGGAACCAGTCTTTTAGCTCCGCATGTTCAAGTCTGATATGATAGTCTCAGGAAAGCCAGGGTAGAAACAGAGGACTTAGTCTTTTAGCTCCATACGTTCAAGTCTGATATGACAGTCTCAGGAAAGCCATGGTAGAAACAGAGGACTTAGTCTTTTAGCTCCATACGTTCAAGTCTGATATGACAGTCTCAGGAAACCAGGGTAGAAACAGAAGAACCAGTCTTTTAGCTCCACATGTTCAAGTCTGATATAATAGTCTCAGGAAAGCCAGGGTAGAAACAGAGGACTTAGTCTTTTAGCTCCATACGTTCAAGTCTGATATGACAGTCTCAGGAAACCAGGGTAGAAACAGAAGAACCAGTCTTTTAGCTCCATATGTTTAAGTCTGATATGATAGTCTCAGGAAAGCCAGGGTAGAAACAGAGGAACCAGTCTTTTAGCTCCATATGTTTAAGTCTGATATGATAGTCTCAGGAAACCAGGGTAGGAACAGAGGAACCAGTATTTTAGCTCCATACGTTCAAGTCTGATATGATAGTCTCAGGAAACCAGGGTAGGAACAGAGGAACCAGTCTTTTAGCTCCATATGTTCAAGTCTGATATAACAGATGTCAACATAGCCCCAGCAGTAACTTTTGTAGGATTTGTTTCAAATGAGCCATATCATTTCAAATGTTTGGATACCCATTACTAAAAGATATAGTGGGCTCTCAGAAAGTGGGAGAGTCCCATAAGAAAGCACAAGTTCTGAACTCAAAACTCTTTGTCCCAAACATCACTGGCCAAGTGTCTGTTAAGTCAGGATACACTCTACACTTATACATATTACAGGACATTAAAAGTAAAAATACTCCAGCAAACTACACATTCTTATTCATTTTGTTGACAAGAAATAAACATACCAAACAGGCACATTTTCCATCCAGACATCCACCATGGCCGGAACAGTTTCCATGGCAACTGTCACTGTCATCCATATTGTCCATCAGCCAATCATAGGCCACACTGACAGATTGTGAGATCGCGTGTTGCGTACTCATTAGCATGTCAGTCTTTTACTTCATAGATATCTTTGATTGGAGAACAAACTGCAGACAAAAACAATTATTTTACATACTGCAATGAAACATAGACACACTGGATATTTGTCTTTACACGACTAAGATAGATGAAAGTTTACTTTATACAGCCACATGATAGACAGTGGCCAGAATCCTCTTACAGATATAACCTAGCTGATACCATTTTATAATTTCTTTATTGCAGTTCATGCTTTCACCTGAAGAAGGACTTATTCTAGATATCCTTGCTGTGCCAGGTAATTCTACAGGTATACTAGCTGTGCCAGGTAATTTTACACCTGTTCTAGTCATGTCAGGTAATTTGATATGTATCAAAAGTTTGCAGGTGATTTTAAACCACTACTAACTGTGCCAGGTAATTCTACAGATATCCTAGCAGTGTAAGGTAATTTTACACCAAAACTAGTTGTGTCAGGTAATTTTACACTTGTACCAGTCATGTCAGGTAATTCTACAGGTGTTCTAGTTGTGTCAGGTAATTTTACACTTGTACCATTCATGTCAGGTAATTCTACAGGTTTCCTAGTTGCGTCATGTAATTTTATGCTTGAACTGGTCAGGTAATTCTACAGGTGTCCTAGTTGCGTCATGTAATTTTATGCCTGTACTGGTCAGGTAATTCTACAGGTGTTCTAGATCTATTCATGTCAGGTAATTTTATGCCTGTACTGGCTAGGTAATTCTAAAGGTGTTCTAGTTGTGTCAGGTTATTTTTACACCTACAATAGTTGTGTCAGGTAATTATATAATGGTACAGGTATCTTAGTTTTATCAGGTAATTGTTGTAACCTGTACTCCATCCTTTATAGCACCTCATGTTGAAAGCAACTCGCTACTTAAATACAACTCTCTATTTGTGATTTTTTAGAAGCTTATCAGAAAACTCATTTTAAAATAGGGAAAAAATATTAAAATGAAGACTACCAATATTATCAGAAAGAGCAAGATAAACAGTATCTGTTAGTTCTGAAGAGTTCTAATGTAGGTTGTCCTTGTTAATGGCAGATGAATCAACAACAGTACAAATATGTACCAGCTAGCACACTCAGGTTACAAAATCTATAGATCTCACAGCTGACTGGGGGTTTATATAGATGGCATTTCACAGTACTCTGTAACCATATATACACCATTGACGTGCACTCATTTAAAAATGGCTTTAAACCAACAGTCACAGCTCCTAAAACAGTGTCTATATCACCCGGGCCGCTTAGTTCTTAAAAACTAATCAGCTAAATTAACGACAAACACAAAACTGTTCATTTAATAAAAAAAGACTGAAATTCAACACTTTTTTCCTTGGGAACAGGAAACAAAAACAATTTGTAAATTTTCAGACATTGCTGCATTTCTCATAAAAACACGGTTTGAAAATTTGTGTATCTAGGGTAATTAATTTAAGCTTATGATTATCTATAATCAGAAAGTTTGGTTGTTTGCCCAGACAGAACAGATAACACATGACATGTCTATTCCAGACACACCTGATAACAGCTGATTAACACTGATCTATCAACGAACACGTTCATAAACTGGTTTCAGAGGTGTGTCTACACTTACATTATATGCATGAAACTTATTTTTCTTACATTTTCTTTCTTTCCTAGCTTTCACAATGAAGACACATACATTGCTTTTTGTTGTTTTTGTCAAACATTATATTTGATTTAAGACTTTTTGTTGGTTGTTTGTCACATACAAATGTATGCAGCAATGATAGATTAAGCTATATAATTGTACATTGCTAAGGCTAAATAAAAATAAAATTGTGTTTCCTCTAACCCTACCTACCCTAGATTTTGTAACCACCCTACAACTATTTTATTGACATTTAGTGATATGCACTGTTAAAGTCCCAACTCCTGCTCTATCTAAGCATATAAGTAAAAATATTCTACAAAATAAAACAAATTGCCTACCTACGTACCTGAATTTTCCTGAGGATGATAGCGGAAACACAAGCATTTGTTTTTTGGCCTAAAAGGTCATATACCCCATAGCTATTTGAACTTCCAGCCAGCGAGTCCCCTTCAGTCCTAAATACAACTCAAATGAGTTTCTGATAAATTACACTTTCAGTATTGCTTATACTGACTAGCAAGGAGGAAGAACAGCAATTCAATGTGTAATACTCAGACTTACCTAATGTGTAAGTGGAATTAGGAGCAAGGAAGTGTTCCTAACAGATTCCAGAAAAGACAATTTCCTTATACAGTGACGCAGCATTCCTTTCTTATAGAGGTATAATATATACAACATACTGTTTACACGCCGACATAGACACTCCCTATTTGGGTCAGGTGCTCACTGATAAATCTCTCGGGTCAAGCTTGGGACTGACATCAAGGTAAACAGGTACCAATTAGTGATATGCACGAAACTAGACAACTGCTAATATTTAACAAGTATTAAGACCTCATATTACATGTATTTTCAGCTCACCTGACACAAAGTGCATGTGAGATTATGTGATAATTCAGTATTCAGCCATGGTGTGCCAACTTGTTTTCAACAACTTCTTTTAAAAAATCATGAGCCATAAGGTCAGAAGATAGCTTTCTTGGATGAAGTCCAACAAACTTTGCAAAATGAAAATACTTTGACCGGTCCACCTTCATAGTCATAGGGGTCAAATTTGTGAATAAACATTCACTGACTTCTTCTAATAAACCAACAGGTCTATAGAGATTTAGCCAATACAATATTGCTTTCATGATGTGTTACTTGTGAAAAGAAATGACCTTGAGTCCTTGACCTTCTTTTGTGGTCATTTTGGAAAATATCTTAAAATGACCACATTCTAGATCCTTGATATATGTGGTATACACTGTTAAAATGAAACTCTGATCTTTGAAAAAATGAAGACATCTAGGGTTATAATATTTTACAAATGACATGTTTGAGTAAAGGAATATCACTTTTTATGAAACAAATGACCTTGACCTATTGCCGAAGTCATTGGAGTCAAATTTGTAAAAAGAAATGTTTAATGACCTAAAATGCCTAAGTGGATCTTGGTTTTTTTCACCTGTGTCACAAACAATTGAAGGTCTACCTTGCAAGTTTGTAGCAAAAAGAACCTTGACCTACTTTCGAATATTTAAATAACCTGAAATCACTTCCTATAACAAATAAAGATGTTTAAGATTACGATCTTGTAAAGACGTACTAAATCCACTTTTGAAGTCATTAGGATCCAATATGTTCACTGGGTTTGTAAGTGCTATCACAAAAGTTTGATTGTTTCAAACAGGTAACAAAGACTTCCTCCATTATCTTGCAATGTCAATTGTTTAATACATCAACTGGTGACTTATATGGGCCCTTTGGACATCCTGCATATATATATGCAAATATATTTCATAATTGAGAATTGACCAGGAAAAAATGACACAAAATTACAAAGTATCAGGTTTACACTGTGAGTAGATCTTCACACATTGAAAGTTAGGACATTAGTTTGGATATAGCACTGTAGTAGGACGAGGAATAGTTATAAAGATAGTGCCATCGCTGGGGCTCGAACCTGCGACCCTTGGCTCTCAAGCCCAATGCTCTACCCATGAGCTAAAGGGAAATTCCCCACAGCTGAAGCTTGTAAGGTATCTTAATCATTGTACATCTTTTACACTTTTTCCCCCGTTTTTCAAACACCAACCCAGGTTCTTTGACTCCCTGCCAAGGGTTCTCCTACTGTGAACGGGGAGGTTCAACAGCACCAGTTTGTATTAGGACAAGGAATAATGATCAAAGATAGTGTTATCGCTGGGGCTCTTACCCGAGACCCTTGGCTCTTCAGCCCGATGCTCTACCGCTGAGCTAAAGGGAAATTCCCCACAGCTGATGCTTGTAAGGCAACCTTGCACATATTTTACAGCACAATGATGTACCAAGTAAATACAATACAAAGGTATATACTGGAAAAGTGACAATATTTAATATTACGAAATATCACTGACTGTACTTAACGTTGGAATGTGTGATGTAGGTACACTCCGTATACAGGCGTTGAGCTGTATGTGATAACTGGGTCAGCCAGTGTGTTTAAGATAAGATTACGGGTAGACTGGTCCTCTGGTTAAGGGAGAAATGTTATATTGGTACATGACACACTATAGTAAAAATAGAACATTCTTTATTGAGGATAAATACATGTTTAGCCATGGGCTAATCTTCCACAACCTGGTCCTCATTATGGGATTGTAGTTTGTATCTATCTGTATTTGCATTTTTAAAGAAAGGTCATTGTGCAAATAGACTAGGACAATTATATTGAGTTTTTTGTTTTGTTTTAAATTATTCCAACTCCAATAAACCAATACACACGCCTGAAGTCTGAACTATCAATTTAGTTACACATAAGGAACTAGATTAAATAAGATTGAAATCAACAATATTTCAATAACAATATTTTATTTCAGATAAAAACTCATGTTAAAATAATTCCATTTATTTATAACAAGTGGTTCACATTGTGTCTTGTTTCTTTGTTTAGAGTGCATCGTTACCTCTTTATACAGGAGCATTTCGTTGTTTTGTTAACAGTATGCAGTATAAGTAAACACACACAGAATTGTGTCAAGTACACCAGACGTGAATTGTATGATGTTCTTTAGGAGACACATACAGTGACAATCAGGCAGTGAATGGTTTTTGAGTACATTACTAATTCTGGCAGAAGGATTGCCTGAAAAGGCTACTCAAGTCATCTCAAATTGAAAGCAGACATATCAAGTTGTGTGCTTTGAGCTGTGAGTTGTTGGTCCTTGTGAGATAGCTTGCAACAGAGTTCCACCTTGTCACCCCAATGGAGCTGGACATGCCTTGGAGCTGGACATGGTCAGTCTGGTGCCAGAGGACAGGCCACAAAGCTGTATGTTGTCAGCCGAGTGACTGACTGAGGATGAACCTCAGAGCTGGACATGGTCAGTCTGGCATCTGAGGACAGGAAACAAAGCTGTATGTTGTCAGACTAGTGACTGAGGATGAACCTCAGAGCTGGACCTGGTCAGTCTGGTGCCAGAGGACAGGCCACAAAGCTGTATGTTGTTAGACTAGTGACTGAGGATGAACCTCAGAGCTGGACATGGTCAGTCTGGTGCCAGAGGACAGGCCACAAAGCTGTATGTTGTCAGCCGAGTGACTGACTGAGGATGGACCTCAGAGCTGGACATGGTCAGTCTGGTACCAGAGGTCAGGCCTTAAAGCTGTATGTTGTTAGACTAGTGACTGAGGATGAACCTCAGAGCTGGACATGGTCAGTCTGGTGTCAGAGGACAGGTTTGTGAGGACAGAGGTACTGCCCAGACCTAAATTTGTAGTTGAGAGTGCACATTGTCCATGCCATCCAGAAGGTCACATTACATTTAATGGTGGCAGCATCATGACCCTGGATTACCTTGTTATAAGACCTGTTCCCAGTGCTAAGGAAGGTGTATTGGAATATACAGGGGGGATAATTCTAAGAGGCAGGAATAATGTAAAGCCAAGGAATGTAAAGGGAAAATACTGCCTTACTGGCAAGCTAGATTTGTATAAATAGGCATAACCCTTTAGCTGGGACTCACTCAACAGTTGTATTATATAAGCAACACCAAGTGTAATCAGTCAGGTTCAATGACTTCCCATGCATTTCATACATTACAACCATAATTAACTGACCCCTCAAAGTGTTTGCAGGCCTGGCAGTTTGGTATAAAGATAGATCAGTTAGATGGTATTTGATTAAGTGTCATTAATTTAAGTTCTTATAATAGCTAACAGACTACAAGTATGTAATAAGTGTGGTGTTTCTGCTGTTACCCTTTCATCTGGGACAGCTGTATACAGACCGTCAAAATTTGATATGCTGCCAACTTTTGTCACAGAGACTGCCTTTCAGATATTGACATTAGGCAAAAAGGGAAAAAACATTATCTGTGATGGCTATAATTGGAAACAAGCTAAAACATGTACAATGTATTTTAAATAATTATTCTAAATGAAATAACAAATGCACAGTGTTTCGACACGCACAACATACATGTATCTATTTACTACGACACGCACAACATATCTATTTATTAATACCTATCAGGCCTGTAGTTCTTTATAGCAATTAACGTGAATAATGAAGGAGTGTCCCTAGATACTGAAATATGTACGTAGCATTTCATCATTTAAAATACTTTAAAAATAAAGTATACATCCATTACATTGTTTAATTAACCATGTAAAAGTTCTACAAATTTGAAGGGTATTTATCGATGATTAAGTTAAATAAGGCTGAAAATATATATACGGAAAAGTTTATCTTACCTTTTGGCTTTTCGAACGTCAACATCACGTGTCGTTCTAGTTTCACTTTAGGCCTGTTCGAACACTTCGGAAGCTGCCGCCATGTCAATGAAAGCATCCGAGAGTCTCCGCACTATCGAAAATGGCGACTCCCATGTGGACTCGAACCGTCCGTCAAGGTTGTTGTCGACTTTGTCTTCTACAGAAGTAAGTTTTAAGATTTTCTCAGCGTCTCTCCATTGATGGTTTATCAGTGTACAATTTTGATAAATGTCCGATGTTTTTCCATTTGCTATTTCTGCGTAAAGAAAGGAGAACAGACTTGTGTTGATGTTTCTACAGTAATCTTTGTCGTTTCGGTACGTACCAGTAGTTTCGTTACCTAAGAGTATGATATTACGATACTTCTTTGTAAAAACGAAACATGCTGAAGAATTTTAAAATATGAAATCTTCAACACACAGGGCGCAAAAGCAAACAAAGTACAAAGTTAAAATGTCGGTCTAATTTACTAATCTGATGAAATACGGAAACGACATTTGGAAAGTGACATCATTTCTCCCACAACCACTACTTTACAGGTTTCCTGATCACTTCCGATTAATTTGATAAACCTGCTTGGAGTTAGTACACATTTTAGTTACCAACTAGTACCATGGACATAATTTCATTGGTCAATCTTCAAATTATCTAATCTTCTAACAGTTTAAAAATTAACTAGCTGGAATTAACGTTAGATAAAAATGATAACCAACCATCACTAATTGGGGAACCTCTATACACAAGTCCTGAAATTTCTGTACCCCATGACAATTACTAGTAGCTAGGGGTAGGTCTCTATTCATACATGTATACGTAGGATGCAGACGTTTTGGTACCAAGATGTTTTGTACCGAAAAATTGTGGGTTTGATACATCGAACAGATTTTTGGGACAAGCATCAACATTTCAATCAAGGACTTTTTTTTTGTATTTTATGTGTCATTTTATTTATGTTTTTTCATCTTTGCCAAAAAAGTACCAAACCCATCCTGTTTTTAGGAAACTACCAGGCACCAAAACATCTAGAATTCTGGTACCGTCAGAGAAACAGAAGAAGGATGTAATGTTTTATCAAATTGATAGAATTTAAGATTTAACTCACAAAAAATGTTTTAAATGCATTCTGTGAAAGAACTTTAATTGAATGGTTGAACACATACAATGACATCAGAAACAATCAATGGATACCACCCAAATAGACTAACAACACTCCGTAGTGATATCATATGTTGTCGTAGCCTGATATATTATCTTCCCTTTGATCCAACACCGAACTTGTGACATTTTGACAAAAAGTAGTTCATTTTAGTCTGGAAAAACTGACTATTTTTGTCTTTAAAATAAATCATGGAGCTTGGATATTCGGAATGTCTTCCATAAACAGTCTCTCTGGTGCACACTGTACTGAATGTTTTCTTGTATATATATGCTGTTATTGCAGTTAACAGCATGTTAACTTTCCGTATGGTAGTTACACAGTTGGGTAGATAATATATTTATCTCTGCCACTATATACATGCCAATAAAATGTTGACAATCACTACATAATTCCCATACAGTGAATGGAAAGCTCTAGGTTAATCACTTTTTTTAACCCAATAAATGTTATAACCATGGACTTTTCTTGTCGTCTTATCACTGGTTGCAGTTAACGTTGCATAAAGAAATCCCATTTTGTGCCCCTATACATATAAACAGAGTTATATATACAGTTGTCTGTTANCGACACGCACAACATATCTATTTATTAATACCTATCAGGCCTGTAGTTCTTTATATCAATTTACGTGAATAATGAAGGAGTGTCCCTAGATACTGAAATATGTACGTAGCATTTCATCATTTAAAATACTTTAAAAATAAATTATACATCCATTACATTGTTTAATTAACCATGTAAAAGTTCTACAAATTTGAAGGGTATTTATCGATAATTAAGTTAAATAAGGCTGAAAATATATACACGGAAAAGTTTATCTTACCTTTTGGCTTTTCGAACGTCAACATCACGTGTCGTTCTAGTTTCACTTTAGGCCTGTTCAAACACTTCGGAAGCTGTCGGCTTGTCAATGAAAGCATCCGAGAGTCTCCGCACTAACGAAAATGGCGACTCCCATGTGGACTCGAACCGTCCGTCAAGGTTGTTGTCGACTTTGTCTTCTACAGAAGTAAGTTTTAAGATTTTCTCAGCGTCTCTCCATTGATGGTTTATCAGTGTACAATGTACAAAATGATAAATGTCCGATGTTTTTCCATTTGCTATTTCTGCGTAAAGAAAGGAGAACAGACTTGTGTTGATGTTTCTACAGTAATCCTTGTCGTTTCGGTACGTACCAGTAGTTTCGTTACCTAAGAGTATGATATTACGATACTTCTTTGTAAAAACGAAACATGCTGAAGAATTTTTAAAATATGAAATCTTCAACACACAGGGCGCAAAAGCAAACAAAGTACAAAGTTAAAATGTCGGTCTAATTTACTAATCTGATGAAATACGGAAACGACATTTGGAAAGTGACATAATTTCTCCCACAACCACTACTTTACAGGTTTCCTGATCACTTCCGATTAATTTGATAAACCTGCTTGGAGTTAGTACACATTTTAGTTACAAACTAGTACCATGGATATAATTTCATTGGTCAATCTTCAAATTATCTAATCTTCTAACAGTTTAAAAATTAACTAGCTGGAATTAACGTTAGATAAAAATGATAACCAACCATCACTAATTGGGGAACCTCTCTACACAAGTCCTGACATTTCTGTACCCCATGACAATTACTAGACTAGTAGCTAGGGGTAGGTCTCTATTCATACATGTATACGTAGGATGCAGACGTTTTGGTACCAAGAAGTTTTGTACCGAAAAATTGTGGTTTTGATACATCGAACAGATTTTTGGGAAAAGCATCAACATTTCAACCAAGGACTTTTTTTTTGCATTTTATGTGTCATTTTATTTATGTTTTTTCATCTTTGCCAAAAAAGTACCAAACCCATCCTGTTTTTAGGTCTACCAGGTACCAAAACATTTAGAATTCTGGTACCGTCAGAGAATCAGAAGAAGGATGTGATGTTTTATCAAATTGATAGAATTTAAGATTTAACTCACAAAAAATGTTTTAAAGGCATTCTGTGAAAGAACTTTAATTGAATGGTTGAACACATACAATGACATCAGAAACAATCAATGGATACCACCCAAATAGACTAACAACACTCCGTAGTGATATCATATGTTGTCGTAGCCTGATATATTATCTTCCCTTTGATCCAACACCGAACTTGTGACATTTTGACAAAAAGTAGTTCATTTTAGTCTGGAAAAACTGACTATTTTTGTCTTTAAAATAAATCATGGAGCTTGGATATTCGGAATGTCTTCCATAAACAGTCTCTCTGGTGCACACTGTACTGAATGTTTTCTTGTATATATATGCTGTTATTGCAGTTAACAGCATGTTAACTTTCCATATGGTAGTTACACAGTTGGGTAGATAATATATTTATCTCTGCCACTATATACATGCCAATAAAATGTTGACAATCACTACATAATTCCCATACAGTGAATGGAAAGCTCTAGGTTAATCACTTTTTTTTAACCCAATAAATGTTACAACCATGGACTTTTCTTGTCGTCTTATCACTGGTTGCAGTTAACGTTGCATAAAGAAATCCCATTTTGTGCCCCTATACATATAAACAGAGTTATATATACAGTTGTTTGTTAATTTTTATATCAAGCATTGCTCAGAGGTGGGGGACTATATAGATGTTTTTTTATAGCACTCGTTTGTGTCTCACAGTCTGATTGTCACTGAACATAGTAGTCCTGGTATTTTTTCATCAGATTTGGTAACAATTTGCTTTGTGGAAGTTGAGAAGAAGTTGCAAAGTGATTGTTAAATGTTCCAGAAACTAACAACACTTGGTCAGGGCCATGATAGTGTCATTTTTATGAAGTTTTGTTTTGATTGAAATTGAGAACTGTCCAAAATGTGTCAGTTTATCAGAGACAGGCTCCTTGGATTTCAAATGAAATCTGCCAGAAAAATAACAACTGAACTGGTCATAATATTGATAAGAATGATCCAATTATTATCATTATTTCGGATACCTAATTATTTATTTTTAAAGAAAAGAAAAAAATGAAAATTGGGCTAGGTACTCTTGTCTTTAGTAGTATAGAAGGTTGATATGACAATTTATTTTTAAATTGAATAGTCTATATATGGTACAAAATCCTTAAAATGTTTTGATAACTTGGAGTTTGAATGCTGCCTTTAAACTTATATTTGGTGATACATTTGGTGTATAACAACATTTCCAGAGGACATATAGCAGACTTTTCAGATTTTATAAATATGGAAATCTATTTTTAAAGATCTTAATGTAAGCCCGCCAAGCCTTTCTGTCTGAAACAATCCTGCCCCATGTTCGAAAGCTTCAAAAGTATGATTTGAACATTATCTGCACACAGAACAGATTTTGTATTGTTTCTGTTAATTTTCAGTGTGAAACCCAGAAAGTTCAGCAGTAAAGGACAAGCACCTAGTGGCTTTTCCAAAGTTTCATTGTCAAAGCGGTTACCGGGGTTACCACTTCCAAAGTATGCTACTGTTGAAAACCAGAAACAGGTGACACAGGTGACTACACTAGAAAATGGACTGCGAGTGGCGTCGGAGAACAAATTTGGACACTTCTGTACTGTAGGAGGTATGTATTGGGTTAATTCTGTTGTATTGGGATAATTCTGTACTGTAGGAGGTATGTATTGGGATAATTCTGTACTGTAGGAGGTATGTATTTAGATAATTCTGTACTGTAGGAGGTATGTATTGGGATAATTCTGCACTGTAGGAGGTATGTATTGGGATAATTCTGTACTGTAGGAGGTATGTATTTGGATAATTCTGTACTGTAGTAGGTATGTATTTAGATAATTCTGTACTGTAAGAGGTATGTATTTAGATAAATCTGTACTGTAGGAGGTATGTATTGGGATAATTCTGCACTGTAGGAGGTATGTATTGGGATAATTCTGTGGAGTAGGAGGTATGTATTTCATGTGTTTGGATAATTCTGTGGAGTGGGAATTATGTATTTAGATAATTCTGAGGAGTTGGAATTTTGTATTTAGATAATTCTGTGGAGTAGGAGGTATGTATTTCATTTGTTTGGATAATTCTGTGGAGTGGGAATTATGTATTTAGATAATTTTGTGGAGAGGGAATTATGTATTTAGATAATTCTGTGGAGTGGGAATTATGTATTTAGATAATTTTGTGGAGAGGGAATTATGTATTTAGATAATTCTGTGGAGTGGGAATTATGTATTTAGATAATTTTGTGGAGTGGGAATTATGTATTTAGATAATTTTGTGGAGTGGGAATTATGTATTTAGATAATTCTGTGGAGTAGGAGGTATGTATTTCATTTGTTTGGATAATTCTGTGGAGTGGGAATTATGTATTTAGATAATTTTGTGGAGTGGGAATTATGTATTTAGATAATTCTGTGGAGTTGGAATTTTGTATTTAGATAATTCTGTGGAGTAGGAGGTTTGTATTTAGATAATTCTGTGGAGTAGGGGTGTATGTATTGGGATAATTCTGTGGATTAGGAGGTATGTATTTCATGTGTTTGGATAATTCTGTGGAGTGGGAATTATGTATTTAGATAATTCTGTGGAGTAGGAGGTATGTATTGGGATAATTCTGTGGATTAGGAGGTATGTATTTCATGTGTTTGGATAATTCTGTGGAGTGGGAATTATGTATTTCGATAATTCTGTGGAGTAGGAGGTATGTATTGGGTTAATTCTGCACTGTAGGAGGTATGTATTTAGATAATTCTGTGGAGTGGGAGGTATGTATTTCATGTGTTTGGATAATTCTGTGGAGTAGGAATTATGTATTTAGATAATTCTGTGGAGTGGGAATTATGTATTTGGATAATTCTGTGGAGTTGGAATTATGTATTTAGATAATTCTGTGGAGTAGGAGGTATGTATTGGGATAATTCTGTGGATTAGGAGGTATGTATTGGGATAATTCTGTGGATTAGGAGGTATGTATTGGGATAATTCTGTGGATTAGGAGGTATGTATTGGGATAATTCTGTGGATTAGGAGGTATGTATTGGGATAATTCTGTGGATTAGGAGGTATGTATTGGGATAATTCTGTGGATTAGGAGGTATGTATTGGGATAATTCTGTGGATTAGGAGGTATGTATTGGGATAATTCTGTGGATTAGGAGGTATGTATTGGGATAATTCTGTGGATTAGGAGGTATGTATTGGGATAATTCTGTGGATTAGGAGGTATGTATTGGGATAATTCTGTGGAGTAGGAGGTATGTATTGGGATAATTCTGTGGAGTAGGAGGTATGTATTGGGATAATTCTGTGGAGTGGGAGGTATGTATTGGGATAATTCTGTACTGTAGGAGGTATGTATTGGGATAATTCTGTACTGTAGGAGGTATGTATTTAGATAATTCTGTACTGTAGGAGGTATGTATTGGGATAATTCTGTGGCTGTAGGAGGTTTGTATTGGGATAATTCTGTGGAGTGGGAGGTATGTAATGGGATAATTCTGTACTGTGGGAGGTATGTATTTAGATAATTCTGTACTATAGGAGGTATGTATTTAGATAATTCTGTGGAGTAGGAGGTATGTATTTAGATAATTCTATGGATTAGGAGGTATGTATTTAGATAATTCTGTACTGTAGGAGTTATGTATTGGGATAATTCTGTACTGTAGGAGGTATGGATTGGGATAATTCTGTACTGTAGGAGTTATGTATTGGGATAATTCTGTGGAGTGGGAGGTATGTATTGGGATAATTCTGTACTGTAGGAGGTACGTATTGGGATAATTCTGTACTGTAGGAGGTATGTATTTAGATAATTCTGTGGAGTAGGAGGTATGTGTTTGGATAATTCTGTGGAGTAGGAGGTATGTATTTAGATAATTCTGTACTGTAGGAGGTATGTATTGGGATAATTATGTACTGTAGGAGGTATGTATTTAGATAATTCTGTGGAGTAGGAGGTATGTGTTTAGATAATTATGTATTNGGTATGTATTGGGTTAATTCTGTACTGTAGGAGGTATGTATTTAGATAATTCTGTACTGTAGGAGGTATGTATTGGGTTAATTCTGTACTGTAGGAGGTATGTATTGGGTTAATTCTGTACTGTAGGAGGTATGTATTGGGATAATTCTGTACTGTAGGAGGTATGTACTTAGATAATTCTGTACTGTAGGAATTATGTATTTAGATAATTCTGTGGAGTAGGAGGTATGTATTTCATGTGTTTGGATAATTGTGTTGAGCAGGAGGATACATTTCGCTGTTAATTACTGTTCTATATTTACTGAATCACAGCCTTCTATTTGACAGCTGATAAAAGACACTATCATGTGGCAATAATGGAAAACTGTAGTGTTCAATAAATGTTTGAGACTGATGAAGGACATGTGTCAAAACAGTGTTGTCTTTGATATACACATGTGTTGGTTTCTCAATGGAGACATTTCTTCAATATATTATTTGATGTTTATATATTGTTCTGACCTATCAATAATCAAGGAGGAGAAGCACGAAAGAAAAGTTTAAGTGATGTTGTGTTTAAACTGATCTGGCCAAAGTGTTGTGTGGTATACAAGCTAGATACATGTCACCTCAACTATGATGGTTTGGTTTTGTAATTTCTTTTCACAATTTTATTTATAACTAAGTAAAGTTTTACCAAAGGAAAAGAAGTTATGGCATCTATTGAAAAGATATTTTGTTAGTGTTAATGAGTATTGAATATTGTAAATGTTTACATTTCAGTTTTAGTCGACTCTGGATCAAGATATGAAGTTGCTTATCCAAGCGGAATATCACATGTTTTGGAAAAATTAGCCTTTAATGTAAGTAATGTAATATTTAATGTAAGTAATGTAATATTTAATGTAAGTAATGTAATATTTAATGTAACTAATGTAATATATAATGTAAGTAATTTAACATTATATGTAAGTAATGTGATATTGATGCAAGTAATATGACATATAATATATATAATATGACTTGATTTATAAGTAACATGACATTTGTTATCCCCTCGCGACAAAGTAATAATAAAACTGTCAACACCAACAGAATGTGCATGGTTACTAAACTGCTATAGTTATTTTAATCTTTTACTTTTCTGATACAATGTATTTAACTCTTAATTAGAATTTTGTCGTTTAAACTAGGCAGTCTATCAGATAAAAGAAATTGTATGCATTTGTTAACCTACCCATACTTAATAATTTATTCAACATTACATGCTTTTCTATTTGTCCTTAATCTTCCAGTCCACAACACAATATAGCCGTGAACAAATTTTTGAGATCTTAGAAAAACATGGTGGAATCACAGATTGCATGTCGGCCAGGTAGAGTTTTGATTTTATCTTTTCACTCTTTTAGATTTACATGACTGAATCATGTCCTTGCATTTGTTGACTGTTATTAAAAAGAGGACCCTGTAAGACTTACCAGGTACATGACTATAAAAGGCTTGCTTGACTAAGAGGTCCTGGTAGGCTTGCTTGACTAAAAGGCCCTGGTAGACTTGCTTGACTAAGAGGTCCTGGTAGACTTGCTTGACTAAGAGGCCCTGGTAGACTTGCTTGACTAAGAGGTCCAGGTAGACTTGCTTGACTAAGAGGTCCTGGTAGACTTGCTTGACTAAGAGGCCCTGGTAGACTTAAGTGACTAAAAGCTTTGGTACATTGGCGTGACTTAAGTTGTAGACACCAGTTTAATAGACTTAAGCAGCTAAAAGGTTTTAGTAGACTAATGTGACTGAGAGGCTGCCAACTTGCATGACTACAAGATCCTGGTAAGCTACAAGACCCTGGTAAACTTGCATGACTACAAGACCCTGGTAAATTTATATGATGAAGAAGCCTTTTCAGGCTTGCATGACTTAGTCCTGTTATTTGACCTAGATCACGACCTTATGCTTTTACTTTGTAATTAAAATGTTGTCTTTCTGATAGTTTGAAAATCATCAAAAATACCCTCAATAAAACCTTTGGTCAGTTTAATGGTTGATATTAAAAACGGTGGTTTAAAAATTCTTTTTGAATTTGTGTTTCAGAGATACATTGATTTATGCCATGTCAGCAGAGTCGACGGCACTTCCTTTATTGTCCAACATTCTGGCTGAGGTTACCCTCAGGCCACAGTTCACAGAACAAGAGGTCAGTACAGCATACTCTATACCGAGAATTTATCATTGCAGCGAATATTAGTAAACAATATTCTATATAGTAATTATATGTGTAGGACGAAATTAACACTGGTCCAATATGTATTTCAATGGCAAAGGGTGAACATTTCACTGAGCAAAGGTTTCCAGGTATGGGTATAGAAAAACATCTACAGGGTATGTTTATTTCTAAATTTAAAGATTTTAAGACATGTTCTTGTTCTTAAAGTTTTCCAAATTATTCTTTGTCTTATTAAGTGAGACATGTTTGTTTTACAAGCATTGTCTAGTTTAAGTTTATTTTTTCATTTTCCTGGTTTCATTATAGATTGAGGATACCAGGAACATAGTGGAATATGAGCTTGAATCTGTGGAAACAAACCCTCAACCTGAACCCATACTTATAGAATTGTCACATGCAGTAAGTTGTTAATCATGTCTTATTATATACTGTAGAGTGTCTTTGATTCAGGTACAGTACCAGTAGTCTAAACAAAATGTGCAATGACATATATTTGGCATCCTTGTTTTGAAATTGAGCTATTTTGAGTAGTATTGCGTTTCTCTTGATCCCATTTGATGAGCGTACGTTGACGACATCCCCACACTGATAGATCTACCATCTAATCTATAAATGGATGTTTTATACACAGGAAAAATCTGCAATAGTCAATACAATATTGCAAACTTCATTTTTGTGGTTATTATTTGTCTGAAGGAATAACTTTTGTTAAAAAGAATCACACAAACAGTGTATACTAAATACAGAACCTTGTTCCATATTTGAGTCCAGAAATATCACATGATGTTAATATAACATTGTTAATTAATAATTCAACAATATTAGTGTCTCCTACTACTGTATTACAAAGGTATGTGTAATGTGTTAAGCCAGTTAACCTTTGTGTTATGAGTCTACCCTTTCGTGTCTAGGCGGCGTACCAGAATAACACATTAGGTCTGCCCAAGCTGTGTCCGAAGGAGACCATCCCCATCATAGACCGCAGCACCCTTCTGTCTTACATGTACCACCATCACACTCCCGACAGGATGGTGGTAGCCGGCGTTGGTGTTGATCACCAGCAGTTTGTTGAAGCGGTCAAGGAAAGCTTTCTAAACAAACAGCCAGTATGGCAGGATGACCCCAAACTCATCCACCCATCGGCTGCCTGTGATAAATCTGTAGCTCAGTATACAGGTGGTGATGTCAGGGTAGGTATACTCCTTGGCAAACGACACTCAGTATACAGGTGGTGATGTCAGGGTAGGTATACTCAATGGCAAACCACACTGTCAATCTGGTTTGGATGTATTAACACTGAACGTGCTCCTCTTTAACCAAGACTTATTCATTGCATAGTGTGAGCTTGTTTTGTTAGTCACAGACCTTGAAAAAAACTACAGCATAGATATTGAAGATGTGTCAAATTAAGGGGGTTATCTTTTTTTGTACCAAAAGTATAGCTATAAGGTCTTACATGATATGCTGGAAGATTCTTTTTTTTTCTTGCTATGACATTGTCAAACATTTTTTCATAAAAAAAATATCAGCCATATTGTAAGAAAACTTCACAGGAGAATTGATGGGCATCTATAGATGTATAATAAACTATATATCTGATATAAACGAATGCTGCTGTGGTCTCTGAGTTGCTGAAACCATGATGGCCATAACTCAAGTTTGATTGGGCCAATATGGGTTAATATGTGATTCAAGATGGATGGTGTTGAGTTTTATTGGGCTTTGGTCATACTTCCTGGGAGTCCTACTATGTACATGTCTGTCCTTTCAGGTAAATAAGGACTTGTCGGACGTTAGTCTGGGCCCTAACCCCATGCCTGACCTTGCCCACCTCGTCATAGGCTTGGAGAGCTGTTCCCACAAGGAGGAGGATTTTGTGGCGTTCTGTGTACTTAACATCCTACTGGGGGGTGGCAGTTCCTTCTCCTCAGGAGGACCTGGCAAGGGCATGTACACCCGTCTTTATACCAACGTTCTCAACAGGTAAGACATAAATCAAGATACTGTGTACAGTAAATATGTTACAGTATAATATTGAACTTAAACAGTGTACAGCTTAATTATATGTTGTTGTTTACCATGTTTCTGCATTTATTCTAGTACACAGTTCTGCATTTATTCTAGTACACAGACCACAGTGGGAAACTGTTTCTTACTTATTTTCTGGTTTGCAGATCAGGAAAAGTTCATTTTAATATATCATGGCATTGTCGCTAGATAACCTACTTGAAAGCTATTTCGTTGATGGGACTTTAAATGACATGCACCACGAAACACAATTTTTAGCCAATCAGCATGCAACAATACTCTGTTTCAGTTATTGAACAAATTTATTCAGACTGTCGATAAGGGGGAGATTTTAAATTTGAAGTTTAATTTGAAGATTAATTTTGTATTGAAAGGCTGAGAAAACGTAAATATAAGCATTGGGCTGTTTTTGTATGGCATTTATGATCTAATTGAATGACACACCTTTGCAAGCAAAACAAATCATAATGTTATTTGCTTGCAAAGCTGTGTCATTCAAATAGATCATAAATGCCATCCAAAAACTGTTCAATGTTAAAATACATTTTATGACATATAAATAATTGCATTGTAATACTGTATACTAGACAACATAGTTATGTTTCTTTATTTAATCGTAGTTTCTGTAGTTTAAGACTCTATTGAGAATGATTATTTGCTTTGTTATAGATACCATTGGATAAATAGTGCATCTGCTGTGAATAACGCTTACGAAGACACAGGTTTCTTCTGCATCCATTGTAGCTCTCATCCAGACCGGGTAAGTTAAAAATCACAACTGCCACATGTTGATCTAAAACTGTATGTAGAAGCCTCAGTTTGATGATCTGTCACAATGATCCAGGCTACATTGATGTATGATGTAGAACCCAGCTCATTTACACAGGAGGATACTGGGTACCTAACACAGGAACAAATAAACTGCATCAGAGATTGGAATAGCTTTACACTGCAAAGTTAGTGTCAGTAACTATAATTATTTGCAGGTTATTGAATTTCACAATATTAGCACAGAATTGCTATGAGAATGATTGATGGTTTTGCATAATGAAAGAATATTTGTAAAAATATAATATTGTGTGACCTAAATGTGGAAATGTTAACACCACAAAATAAAATGCCCTCAAAAATATGTTAATTTGGGATTTTACTGTGCAATTTTACCCCTACAAAGTAAAATACCCACAAAAATATCCTTTTGTGTGACTTAAGTGTGCAATGTTTTCCTCACAGAATAAAATAACCACAAAATCTTCTATTGTGTGACTTCACAGTGAAATGTTCTAGTGTGTGACTTCACAGTGAAATGTTAACGTACAATATACGAAACTTTGAAGTACATGTCTCCAGTTATACAGGTATTGAGATAATTTTTTTTCACTAAATGACAATGTTTTTATTTACAGTTGGGTGAGCTGGCTGAGGTTATCATTCAGGAACTGTGTAATACAGCTGGCAACATTCGTAATGTAAGAGTTTTACCTTTTGTACAGAATTTTTATCTACTGGTTTAAAATTTACTATATGGCATTTGACGGGCGTATATTGTTTCGCCCCGCGGTACTCTTGTTGTGTTTGTGGTATGTTTGCAGTTTTCATAGAACAATAAATCTACTAGCATGTCTACTCCAGAAACATAACAGACCCATTAAACACAAAAGTAGCATGTGTAGTCGAGACACATTACAGACCCATCAAACACAAAAGTAGCATGTGTAGTCAAGATACATTACAGACCCATCAAACACAAAAGTAGCATGTGTAGTCGAGATACATTACAGACCCATTAAACACAAAAGTAGCATGTATAGTCAGGATACATTACAGACCCATCAAACACAAAAGTAGCATGTGTAGTCAAGATACATTACAGACCCATCAAACACAAAAGTAGCATGTATAGTCAGGATACATTACAGCCCCATCAAACACAAAAGTAGCAAGTGTAGTCAGGATACATTACAGACCCATTAAACACAAAAGTAGCATGTATAGTCAGGATACATTACAGACCCATTAAATACAAAAGTAGCATGTGTAGTCGAGATACATTACAGACCCATTAAACACAAAAGTAGCATGTATAGTCAGGATACATTACAGACCCATAAACCCTTTCAGTCCGATGTAACTTTAGTAGACTCTACCATGCATTCATGATTGATACGGATGAGTCCGTTATGCTCTACAGTGGTGAAAGCGTTAAGCATCAATTCCACATTTTGTGAACCTGTAATTGTTCATTTTAGAATAAAAGTAATACTGGGTAAAATCAGAGCTGTGTACAGTACCAGTAATTGTTAACTGTGACGTATAGGAGTATCTGAGAGTGTTTAAACCCCAGTGAGCTGGTATTCATAGGCTCTCAGCATTGGACATCACCTTGTACCACCCATCATGCATGGGGCTACTAAAACGTTTGTATTGACATCTTTTTCATATGTGTTAAATGTTTGTTTGAAGCGAAGGTAAAATAATATGTAAGTTGATACTGTTTGTCATTATTGTTTATACCATGTATCTGCAGGACGAGCTGGAACGAGCCAAGACCCAGCTACAGTCCATGTTACTGATGAACCTAGAGATGCGTCCCGTCATGTTTGAGGATGTCGGGCGGCAGGTCCTCGCCAATGGATACAGACGGCCCGTTGAGTACTATTTTGAGGCTATCGGTAAGTTCATGTCCTAAGTGTTTACACTTAAAAATTGTGTTTCATGGCTATCTGTTGGTCTTACCTCTATAAACTCAGTCTACAACACATCCCAATTTAATTGTTGTTTGTACTACATCCCAATTCAAGTGTTGTTTGTACTTGTGATTTTTTCATGATGAAAATCTTATAAATTCAATAAAAAAAATCTAAAATCTGTTCTGCATTCGAAAATTTTAACTTCATTAACATCCAAGTTCGATAAAAAATATCAAAATGGTATCACATACTCGTATTCTGATCAATTTGTTTCAACATAACAACATTACCTTTCTCCTTCAGGTAAGATCACAGCTGCTGATGTACAAAGGGTGGGAAGTCGCATGCTGAAGACAAAGCTGAGTGTGGCCGCCTACGGAAACCTGAAGAAACTACCATCCTACGAGGACATGCAGTCTCTCTTAAGTGGGAAAACAAGCTTCTATAAACAGTACAACCCGTTCAGAATGATGCGGTGATTATGGATTGTCATAGTCTATTTAAGATTTATATCTTGTTTTGGAAGATTAAGACCCAAGTGAGCATTGTTGAATATAACTTGAGATGACAGTTCTGTAATCAGGATGGCTGCTATGGAGAAGCACCCCAAGGGAGCAACTACAATTTGTTGATGTTGTATACAGTGTTTCAATTGACTGTATGTTGTTTTAAGATGGGGTTTTTTTGTCTGAGAAGAAATATTCACCTTCAATGAGCGTCAGAGACATTGTCTTCAAGCTGAAAGACATTGTGTGTGGTTCTTGTAGTCCTTTTAGTTGATTTATTCTCCAAAGTGATTTCATAGAATATTTCCTTCGAGTCCAAGCACGTATATACTGGATCTCTCCAGAGTCAGAACATGCTACTGTAAGAAATACATGAAGTTTAATCTTCTTGAAATAACATATCCTTATAGGGTTTATTTTTATGATTTCATTAAATATGGTGTTTTAAGAACTAAAACCTTGATAATGGTTTGACAGAGATTGAAATACAACCTTTGGGAAAGGTAGTAGACTATTGCTACATGTTAAGGATATCAGCTCATCCACGGATGTACAAGTTGATTACAAAATAAGGATATCAGCTCATCTACTGAACAGGTTCTCTACCTGTTAAAACGTGTACGTCTCTAGGTATTCAGAGTATGCCAACAACACTGAGTAAAGTACGCCAACAACACTGTGAGTAAAGTATGCCAACAACACTGTGAGTAAAGTACGCCAACAACACTGAGTAAAGTACGCCAACAACACTGTGAGTAAAGTGTGCCAACAACACTGTGAGTAAAGTACGCCAACAACACTGTGAGTGGTGATGCAACAACAGTGTACATTGTAGAAATCTAGTACATGTATTTAAGAATATCACCTCATCTTTTATCTTGCATTTTATTGTTGGAAAGAATGCTGAATATGCATGTTCTATGTTTTTGAAAAAAATCTATTGTTTAATGAAAATAAATACAATCTTGACAAACCTTAACTTGACCCATTGCTTGTCTTTGTTTTTATATATAGCTACATGTATAATGTATAACCAGATGGTGAGACAAAATTTCTGTCTTCTTCAAGTCAATGTAAAATAGTAAGAAATACTTTGCTCCAATGACACTCAATTTCTCTGTCCATACTGGTATGTTGAATATATACAATGAAAGCAATGAAATAGCCTCACTTTATATAATCAGATGACATCATGTTATAGCTGGGCGGATGGCATAAAAATAATTATATTTTGTAGAAACAATTCCCTTTATATTATGTAAAATTGTGTGGATTTTATAGAAAATGTTACCTTCTGATGTAGAAACGGGGATCAGACACTTTACTTACATGACATTAGTTATATCAGTAGTTGTTGTAACTGTTGGATAGCTGATATTAAACAATCCCTCTCGAAGACCGATGGGTCTGAGGAAGGATTCTTTCTTTCAGTTGCTGAACTGATCTGATTTGTTTGTGTAACTTAAATTAAAATATTCATTTCAAGAACACTTTAAAAAAAAATAAAGGTGTGATACAGGTTTCAGTTAAGTTAGTGTAATAGTATCAGTAGTTTATATATCCCATGGTAACTTCACACTTTCATTGTTTGAATGTTGGGGAGGACATAGCCAGCCTATTCAGACTCTCTGTAGTAAATGCCCCAGCATGATCAGACTCTAGATTAAAAGCCCCAGCCTCTTCAGACCCTCTATATTAAATGTCCCAGCCTCTTCAAACTCTCTGGATTAAATGTCACAGCCTCTTCAGACTCTCTAGATTAAATGCCCCAGCATCTTCAGACTCTAGATTAAATGCAGCCCCAGCCTCTTCTGACTCTCTAGATTAAATTTCACAGCCTCTTCAGACTCTCTAGATTAAGGGTACATTCGCGTAACCGGTTGAAACGGTTGAACCGGTTGAACCTGTAAAGAAAACGACAGGTACAGATTTGGACCGAGGCTGACCTCAGGAAAATTTGGTACGTGTAGATTGAGGGGTCCAGATGTACCTGACCGAAACTAAAATGCTGACTATTGCCAATTTGCGCTATTTCTTTCTTAAACAATGTCAAGTCACATGTAATTTTTAGCTCACCTGGCACGAAGTGCCAAGTGAGCTTATGCCTTGGTGCTGCGTCCGTCGTCCGTCCGTCCGTCCGTCCGTCGTCCGGAGTCAATATTTTACTTTAAACAACTTCTTCTCAATAACCAAACTGCCCAGGGAGATGATATTTGGTCAGTAGCATGCTAGGGTAAAGGGCTACCGTGTTTGTTAAAATGAATGACCTTCAATTATAATCAAGGTCACAGGGGTCAATTGTCTTAAAAAACCCTTTAAATAACTTCTTCTGAATAACCAAAATGCCCAAGGTGATGATATTTGGCCAGTAGCATGCTGAGATGAAAGGTTACAAAGTTTGTTCAAATGAATGACCCTCACCCATATTCAAGGTCACAGTGGTCAAATATGTTAAAAACTTCAAACAACTTCTTCCAAATAACCAAAATGCCCAGGATGATGATATTTGGCAAGTAGCATGCTGAGATGAAGGGCTACAATGTTTGTTCAAATGAATGACCTTCACCCATATTCAAGGTCACAGGGGTCAAATATGTCAAAAACTTTAAACAACTTCTTCTGAAAAACCAAAATCCCCTGGGTGATGATATTTAGTCAGTAGCATACTAGGATCAAGGGCTACCAAGTTTGTTTAAATGTATGACCTTGAATCATATTCAAGGTCACAAGGAGCAAATATGTTTAAAATATTTTAACAACTTGTTCTGAATAACCAAAAGGCTCAGGATGTTGATATTTAGTTAGTAGCATATGCTGGGATCAAGGATTTCTATGTTTGTTAAAGTGAATGACTTTGACTTATATTCAAGGTCACAGGGGTCAAATTTGTTTAAAATCTTTAAACAACCTCTTATGAATAACCATGGGTCCCAGGATGTTTATACTTTGCAAGTTGCATCCTGAGATGAAAGGCTATACAATGTGTTCAACATAATGACTTTGTTCGACTTTCAATCACAGGGGTGAAATGTTTTAAAAAAAATTAACAGGGTCTTTTGAACGAATTTTAATCATAAATACTGATATTTTGCCTGTAGCTTTATTTAAGATCACTTTTAAGGTTATAAGTGTGAGTTTTATACCAGGTGAGCGATGAAGGCCCATTGGGCCTCTTGTTAAGATACGTTATGTAATTTAGTGGACGCGTGAGAGAAGGATATGATATTCTTGATACATTGTTTTTTATTCTCCGAAACTGTGGATTTTTAGCTCTGCTTATAGAACGGTCCAAGTGTGTTCGTTTATCGTGGAAAATTTCTGCGCCACACGTACCGTTTCAACCGGGATACGCGAATGTAGCCTATATGTCCCAGCCTCTTCAGACTCTAGATTAGATGCCCCAGCCTCTTCAGACCCTAGATTAAATGCAGTCCAAGCCTCTTCAAACTCTCTAAATTTAATGCAGTACCAGCCTCTTCAGACTCTTTAGATTAAATGTCCCAGCCTCTTCAGACCCTAGATTAAATGTAGTCCAAGCCTCTTCAGACTCTAGATTAAATGCCCCAGCATCTTCAGACTCTTTAGGTTAAAAGCACCAGCATCTTCAGACTCTCTAGATTAAATGCAGCCCCAGCCGCTTCAGACTCTCTAGATTAAATGCAGTCCCAGCCTCTTTAGACTCTTTAGATTAAATGTCCCAGCCTCTTCAGACTCTCTGGATTAAATTTGCATCGGCATCTTCAGACTCTTTAGATTAAATTCCCCAGCCTCTTTAGACCCTTTAGAATAAATGCAGCGCAAGCCTCTTCAGACTCTCTTGATTAGATGTCCCAGCAACTTCAGACTCTTTAGATTTAATGAAGCCCCAACCTCTTCAGACTCTCTAGATTGAATATCCCAGCCTCTTCAGACTCTCTAGATTAAATGTCCCAGCGTCTTCAGACTCTTTAGATTAAATTTGCCCCAGCCTCTTCAGACTCCTTAGATTAAATTCCCCAGCCTCTTCAGACTCTCTAGATTAAATGTCCCAGCCTCTTTAGACTCTCTAGATTAAATGTCCCAGCCTCTTCAGACTCTAAATTAAATGTCCCAGCCTCTTCAGACTCTCTAGATTAAATGCAGTCCCAGCCTCTTTACACTCTTTAGATTAAATGTCCCAGCCTCTTCAGACTCTTTAGATTAAATTTGCATCAGCATCTTCAGACTCTTTAGATTAAATTCCCCAGCCTCTTTAGACTTTTTAGATTTAATGCAGCACCAGCCTCTTCAGACTCTCGAGATTGAATATCCCAGCCTCTTCAGACTTTCTAGATTAAATGCCCCAGCATCTCCAGACGTTCTGGATTAAATGTCCCAGCCTCTTCAATCTCTCTAGATTAGATTAAATGTCCCAGCCTCTTCAGACTCTCTAGATTAAATGTCCCAGCCTCTTCAGACTCTTTAGTTTAAATGTCCAGACTCTCTAGATTTAATGCAGTCCCAGCCTCTTCAGACTCTTTTGATTTAATGTCCCAGCCTCTTCAGACCCTAGATTAAATGCAGTCCCAGCCTCTTCAGACTCTCTAGATTAAATGCAGTCCCAGCTTCTCTACACTCTTTAGATTAAATGTCCCAGCCTCTTCAGACTCTCTAGATTAAGTTTGCATCAGCATCTTCAGACTCTTTAGATTAAATTCCCCAGCCTCTTTAGACTTATTAGATTTAATGCAGCACCAGCCTCTTCAGACTCTCGAGATTGAATATCCCAGCCTCTTCAGACTTTCTAGATTAAATGCCCCAGCATCTTCAGACGTTCTGGATTAAATGCCCCAGCCTCTTCAGACTCTCTTGATTAAATGCAGTCCAAGCCTCTTCATACTCTCTAGATTAAATGTCCCAGCCTCTTCAGACTCTTTAGATTAAATGTCCAGCCTCTTCAGACTCTCTAGATTAAATGCAGTCCAAGCCTCTTCATACTCTCTAGATTAAATGCCCCAGCCTCTTCAGACTCTCTTGATTAAATGCAGCCCAAGCCTCTTCAGACTCTCTTGATTAAATGCAGCCCAAGCCTCTTCAGACTCTCTTGATTAAATGCAGCCCAAGCCTCTTCAGACTCTCTTGATTAAATGCAGTCAAAGCCTCTTCATACTCTCTAGATTAAATGCCCCAGCCTCTTCAGACTCTCTAGATTAAATGCAGTCCCAGCCTCTTTTCACTCTTTAGATTAAATGTCTCAGCCTTTTCAGACTCTCTACATTAAATTTGCATCAGCATCTTAGACTCTTTAGATTAAATTCCCCAGCCTCTTTAGACTTTTTAGATTTATTGCAGCACCAGCCTCTTCAGACTCTCTAGATTGAATATTCCAGCCTCTTCAGACTTTCAAGATTAAATGCCCCAGCATCTCCAGACGTTCTGGATTAAATGTCCCAGCCTCTTTAATCTCTCTAGATTAGATTAAATGTCCCAGCCTCTTCAATCTCTCTAGATTAGATTAAATGCCCCAGCCTCTTCAGACTATCTGGCATGTATACTCCCTTGAGAAGTTGACATTTCATTTGAGGTTTTCTCCAAGGGTCAGGGTTACAGATCCAGTATGTATCCGCAAGATAGTATGACCACTCAAAGGGCCCTTTGAAGTGTCGCCTCATTTGAATGTCACAACAAGGAGGTTGGTGCATTATATCACACAAGGCCATGTTATTCTCACAATAGGCTTACAGGATCTAGAGATTTCTAGAGAGAGAGAGAGACCACCAAAAGGGAAGAGAAGGTAAGAAAGAAAGGAAGTTTGTTCCAGTTGTGTTGAATTAGGGGAAGCAGTTTGAGTCTTAACAATATCCCCCGGAGGAAGAGGGCACAAGGTACTTTCTTAATCAAATGTTCCTATGGAGAGACTGCATGGCACCTAGCTGTCATGAGGGATACCAAAAAATCAAAAGAGGGCATTTTCATTCAAAAGTTTCTCATTTTTAGCTCGCCTGCCCGAAGGGCAAGTGAGCTTATGCCATGGCGCAGCGTCCATCGTCTGGTGTCCGTAGTCCGTCGCCCGTCAGTCAACTTTTCCTTTAAAACACTTCTAGTCCTGAACGGCTTAGTAGATTTTCGCTATATTTGGTCTGGAGCATCCTTAGGCCAAGGGGACTCAATGATGAATAAATGGTGTGTGTGGCCCCCCTGGGGGCAGAGGGGTGGGGCCCTATAGGGGAAATAGAGGTAAAACCTTTAAAATCCTTCTTCTATCATAGGGATTAAGAGATTTTATCCGAATTAAGTCTGGAGCATCCTTAGGCCAAGGGGACTCAATGTTGAATAAATGGTGTGTGTGGCCCCCCTGGGGGCAGAGGGGTGGGGCCCTATAGGGGAAATAGAGGTAAAACCTTTAAAATCCTTCTTCTATCATAGGGATTAAGAGATTTTATCCGAATTAAGTCTGGAGCATCCTTAGGCCAAGGGGACTCAATTTTGTATAAATGGTGGGTCTGGCCCCCCTGGGGGCCGAGGCGCGGAGCCCAATAGGGGAAATATAGCAAATTCTTTAAAACCCTTCTTCTTCTGTAGGAATAAAAGGATTTGTTCAATATTTGGTCTGAATCATTCTTGGGTGAAGAGGAACCAATTTTGTGTAAGCTGTTCATCTGGCCCACCAGGGGCCTGAGGGGCAGGGCCCAATAGGGAAACATAGCAAATTATTCTTTAAAATCCTTCTTATTCTGTAGGAATGAAAGGATTTGTTCCATATTTGGTGTGGAGCATTCTTGGGTAAAGGGAAACAAATTTTGTATAAACGGTGGGTGTGGCCCCCCTGGGACCTGAGGGGCGGGGCCCAATAGAGGAAATAGAGGTAAAACCTTTATAATCCTTCTTCTTCCATAGGGATTAAGGGATTTTATCCTAATTTAGTCTGGAGCAACCGTGGGCCAAGGGGACTCAATTTTGTATAAGCAGTGGATGTGGTCTCCCAGGGGGCAAAAGGGCGGGAAAGAGATTTTATCCTTATTTGGGGGTGGGGCTCTGTTTGAAGTTTGTTCTCGCTATATCTCAAGGACTGGATGGATCTTTCTGAAATTTCATATGTACTTACAGCACCTACCATGGAGTGCTATATCTTTACTTCATACTAATTATTTTAAACATATTCAGGTGAGCGATATAGGCCCTCTGGGCCTCTTGTCTATAATTGTAAGGAATTTTTATTTCCAGCACACCTAGTGCTAGGGTAAGTTTATTTTCTTAATAAAATATATCTTAACTTGCATGTGTACATTCAAGTTTGTCTAATACCAAGCTCCGGGGATACCTGAGATCATAAAGGACAGGCACTCAGAAGTAAGATTTTACCTACCAATAGGAAGCATGATTTTTTCAGTTTAAAAATCTTCTTGAAAAATATAATAGCGTCATTGTATAGCATAGAAACGACTGCAAAACTAAAAGACTACTTCTAAAGAATGATGGACTGAACATAACTTTAAATCTTAGTTAACTTGGTAACTTACATGCTCTCTGCATCTTAGTTAACTCAGAAGGTAATGCTCTCAATCAAGATCATTACGTTCAGCTTTTCATACAGGTTGGTGGCAGAGGGATGAAATCTGTTATGAGAAATATGGACAATCTATTTGTAGTGTAGCTAGCTACTCTTAAAGGATAGCATATCATATACATACAGGATCTTTCAGGCAAGGGGATAAATTTGTAAACAATGATAAGAAATTCATTCCTTTAGATCAATTATATAGGCTAAAAAGGTGAAAATAAGGATGGATCTTTAAAAGACTAGTCCTCAAGGATAGCTTAACAGATTTTAAATTAATGTGAGATGAAGTGTGGACTCGATCAAGACAATTTCTAATAAGCAAATGTAGTATGAATCATANTAGTATGAATCATACAGACTTAAGATTTTTTTTTTTTTAGGGGGGGGGGGGGAAGCAGATGAGGCATGCTATATATAAAACCATACAGAGCAAATCTTAGGCATTTAATGTTACCGTGCTTGCATCCTTAATAGACAAATGCTAAATTTAGACATTAGTTGACTTCCTGAATTTCAACCAATCAGATCAGTCCTTACATCTTTCCTTTGCTCCATACAAACAAAAATGGCGGACATCGAGCAGTGGATAGGTATTGCGAGGGATTGCAAATATCTCCCAGAAAATGACTTAAAGGTATCGGATATGTGTTATATTCATCAAATAGAGTTAAAATAGAATCGAGATTGCTTACCATAAAATTATAGTGTGCATCACATCAGTATTTTATCATTCATTACTTTCATTATCATGTCGAGCGAGATTTGCCCTTATCTAAATTAAAACGAAAAGTAAAGTAGGCGATGCATGATATCGACCACAGGTACCAGCCTCGTCTGTCAATACACCTATAATCTAATCTTATATGTGTACTGACAGACGAGGCTGGTACTTGTGTATCGACTATACTTCAGGCGGTACAACTGAATTAACAGTAGTATTTTACATGCACAAAATCATCTGTTAAGAAACGGATTTTGGTGAAAAAAATATGGTTTAAAAAACAAAAACCAGCTTTGTGGTTATCCCCACACCCCTCATCGTTTGATACAGGAATTTGACGTTAAAATATGATACTAATAGTATAGGGCGTGTTTTTTTCGTCTAGACTTTTGTATCTCATTGATTTTAAGGAAATTTATACAATCAGACCAGGGTTCGAACCAGGGACCCTCCGAAGCATTGCTGCATTTGCGCTCTACACCAATCGACACAGTCAGGTTCTGCTACATTCCTCCCACCTTTTTCTAAGTCTTCGCCCCCAACGACACAACTATTTACAATCCAGATTCGGTTATCAATCCAGGTTCGAAGCGGGTAGTACCCTCTGAACTCTGAATGGACGCACTACCAATTGAACTACCTGGTCAACGTCGACCAACCCAGTCCAGTTCTGCTACAGTAGCAATTGTCACAGGAAGGGGGTCTCTGCGGACACTTAATCACACAATTTAGTGCACAAACGAGTGTATTCACACATCTAGTTTCTTGAAACATACCACCTTTTCCCCACTTAATTAACTTACGATGCAATTGATTTTAACTGCTAAGAAGTGTTCGAGGAATGAGAAATAACAAATGCAGAGTCAGGCTGCCTGGGATTCAAACTTGGGACCAGCTCAGAACTAGAGAGACACTAGTCATTGGAGCATGATTACATGTAGTAGTCCAGCAAAGACAGATGGAGTCTGTTATATTACTAAGCCCCCATCTGTTCTTTTTCCAAGTATTTATCTCTGAAGACTACACTATATTTACAACCCCAGGCTTTGGTATCTTGGTATCAAGAACATACATACTAAGATACAATATGTGAAACAAGGGTTGGTTATGCACCACTGTAACAGGAAGAGATTACTCTCCTGCCACCTGGGATTGAACCAGTGACCCAACCCACCAAACAGTGAGTTTTCTACCTGAATTGTACCAAAGCATTATTTTGTTTGGGACGGAGACTCTTATTTGGTCGTAAAAATAGACAGCAATAGACAGAAACAGAAGCTGTTAAAAAATAAACCTAGCACACATGCGGATACATTCAAGAAAAGATTCCCAACTGAGATTAACTTGATCATGATTGACACCTACAGTACTGTACTGTTATTGAATGAAGTGAACTTGCTGTGGGAATTACAAATGTTTTGTGCACTAATAAAGCAATTTGTATGAATGTATGATTAATCAATCAAATGACGATTTAAGCTCTTTTATTCCACTCTGATCCTCTATGTTCCAACGGAGTGGAATAAAAGATCTGGTTTTAATAAGATTGTTTACGATTATTATCCATCATTGGAATAATATTGACTAAAATCAATGATTATCTATTTTTTTTGGTTTTTGATTGCAGAAATTATGTGACATGGTGTGTGAACTTTTGCTGGAGGAATCCAACGTACAGCCAGTGTCCACCCCAGTGACCGTGTGTGGGGACATCCACGGACAGGTCAGTACTACACTTCTCTAGTTTTATAGGCAGACTTCTTACGAGGCCTTGAGAAGTGCTTAAAGTTTATGTTTAAAAAATAAACTAGAGAAATTGAAGCACTGGAAAAGCTATTGCATTCCATAGAAACATATAGGAGAAAGTGTTTTCCCAATCTACTTTATACTGTATACATGTAGATCTCCATTGATCATAAAATCAGAGGTATTAAAGAGGAATAGAAAATACAAGTATATGTCAATCTTTTGATTATGCTGTCTTCATATTATACTTAAAGGAAGAGATATACCTTTAATGGTATTGGTAGTGTACAATTTATTAAGGAATAATCCTTTTATACTTTTAAAATGTGTTTTTTATATTTCCAGTTTTATGACCTTATGGAATTATTTCGGACAGGAGGACAAGCACCAGACACAAACTATATATTTATGGTAAGGACTTTAAAACAACTCGATCGACTTTCATATGAAACAGAACGCTGTAATCAAAATGTTTTTGCATAATGTTGTAAAAATGTGAAAGTCCACACTGAGTACCAGTAATTGGAAGAATTAGAATCCAACACATATAGATCTAGAATGGCAATCATAATGTGAAGCTATGTAATAATTTGTTACTCACCAAGTCTGTTGATCATGATCACTACATAATTGACAAGTTCAATAGTACCTCCATCTGTTAGCATAACTGTTTGTGTTAGATTATAGTTAGATAGAATTTTCACCATTTGATATTTTTGTCGTGCAGGGTGACTTTGTAGACCGGGGATACTACAGTTTAGAGACATTCACACTTCTTCTCACGCTGAAAGCTCGGTAAGTTTCTCCTTTTGACAGGAATTGTCTAGTTCTGCACCAATACCTGTGAACTTTGTTAATATTGTTCCAAGCTGAAGATTACCTGAGCCACCAGGTTATGATAGTTTACTCATTGCAGCACTACTATACTAGTACTGTTACTAAAAGAGAGAAGGTAAGAGTGTATTTAGTACATATAGCTTATGAAAAAATTCATTAAATTTAAACAGAAAACTAATTTTACTTTATCTAACCTTATTCTGATTTATGTGAGTTATATCCCTTGGCAATCATTGTCTGCAATTTATTTGTATGATATTTGAAAAAACAGTTTTAAGAGACCAAATACATTACTACTAACACTGAAACCTCAAGGTAGATAATCTCTTCTGATAGGCATTGTCTACACTATTCTGATAGGCATTGTCTAATAGGCATTGTCTACACTATTCTAATATATATGTTCTGTGACTCTGCATAACAAACAGTTTAGAGACCTATGTAAGTAATACTCGCACTTCCACTCAAACTGAAAGTTTGAGTTTGACAAAAAATATTCCCAGACAGGAATTGCCTACAATGTGACTTATAAATGGAAGTTTTAATAGACATATCTCATGCTAAGGAATTGTGTTGTTGATCAAGATTTGGACGTACAACATACTTGCTAGCAAGTGATGCTATATTGTCATTACTAGATTTATTATTGACTTGCTTTAATCTGTTTCAGATGGCCAGACAAGATAACATTATTACGTGGAAATCATGAAAGTAGACAAATTACACAAATATATGGATTTTATGGTGAGTGCGTTGTCTATTCATTGATCGAAATATTTGTGGAATGGAAAAGTACATCTGTATTAAACGCTTTCTTTTGTAAAACAGAACTTTTGTAAGATCTTTTAGAACATATTTAAACCCCCTTCATATTTGAGTGGGTATCTAGAATTTGCTATGTCAGTGTTTCTTCATACATGCTTGCATCTGTCCATCTGTTTGTAGTAAAAAGGTTTTGTAGAAGATATCTCATGAACTTCTCAGCACATTTAGTTAATATTTACACCATAGAATCTTAACATCAACTTTTTCACCTGATTAGGTTTTGGTGGTAATTGGGCATTGTTAAGGGCTCAAAGGTCAAACTTGGCAACTTTTGAAGTAAAAAGCTTGTATTTATGTTTTTTGTGTGTGTCACAGTATCGGTAATTAACTTCTTTTTCACTATAGAAATGGTATCTTGATGAAACTAGAAACAATATCTGTGTCGGGCAAGGACATTATAATACATTACAATTAAGTTGCTATGACCTTCACCTCTATATTGCTAGGTCAAAGGAAAAAAAATAAGCACATATTTTTTTATTAAAGTCTTAATACCTGCATCACTCACAGAAGATTTGAAGTGTATATATATATTTAGGTCATCGAGATCTAGACCAAAGATCAAATAAGTGTAAAGCATATGGGCTGATCAGGGTTAGACACTTACTTGTTTTGCTCCACAGGACTAGTTAAATAGATTATTTACTAGTCCTACGTCAATGTAACTTGTCGCAGATTTCCTGATAAGGAAACCTCGTGATCTACAGCACGAAACAGCAAAAGTAGGGGACAGTCCACAGGACTTAAAATAACTACTGCCATACAAATATGGTAAAGTTTGAGAACAATCGTGTAATATATGTTATTTTATGCAGTTTTCTAAATTGAAAAAAAAGAAGTATTCACATTTTATAATTATATTTTTCACAAGTCCAAAGGACCAGTTAGGTAATTAGGTGATTCACTAGTCCTTGCTGAAATCTGCTAGTCCAGGACTAGCAGACTAGTGTTAGTGTCGAACCCTGCTGATAATTTAAGGAAAGACATGTTTTTGTTCAAAAAGATATTTATTTGTAATGAGGAATTTATTTCAATCATTACAGATGAATGCCAAACTAAATATGGAAATGCAAATGCATGGCGGTACTGTTGTAAAGTTTTTGATTTGCTGACTGTATCTGCGGTAAGTGTACTCAGTGAGTGGTCAGTCAGGGATACAATGGTTAATGTTGATAGTACCCAAAGTCTGGCATGCTTGGTTTAATTCTGGTTCTAAAAATATGGGACCATTTTCAATCACACATGTTGTCTATGCAAAATTCATTGCATGTGGCCATGCATGTACAATTATGCATTTTGTTTGTTACATTTATGGAGTTTTTTTCTTTATTTAAAGATATTTTTTGTGTTTTTCTTATTTCAGTTCCCATTAAAATAACATTTGCTTCTCAAAGATAATTATTTGTCTTTAACCTCAAAATCTTTAAAAACACCAAACAGAATTAAACACAAAAAGGAAATTGCTGTATGGTCTCTATATCAATAATAATGTTATCAGGGGTCTTATGTACAGACTACTGTCTGTGGGTATATATCTGCTGTTATGCCATTTTATGCATGTAGTATTTTACCCATCTTCACTTTCCTACAGATTATAGATGAGTGTATTCTGTGTGTCCATGGAGGTCTATCCCCAGACATCAAGACTATTGACCAGATCCGAACCATCGAGAGGAACCAGGAAATCCCCCACAAAGGCGCCTTCTGTGATATCCTTTTCTTGTCTTCTCTCTGTACGCTAGATCTCTGTGTGTAGTACAATTGTGATCCTCTCCCTGTACACTAGATCTCTGTGTGAAGTATATACAGACATGATCCTCTCCCTGTACACTAGATCTCTGTGTGGAGCATATACAGACATGGTCCTATCCCTGTACACTAGATCTCTGTGTGAAGTATATACAGACACGGCCCTCTCCCTGTACACTAGATCTCTGTGTGGAGTACAATTGTGATCCTCTCCCTGTACTCTAGATCTCTGTGTGTAGTACAATTGTGATCCTCTCACTGTACACTAGATCTCTGTGTGGAGTACAATTGTGATCCTCTCCCTGTACGCTAGATCTCTGTGTGAAGTATATACAGACATTGTCCTCTCCCTGTACACTAGATCTCTGTGAGAAGTATATACAGACATGGTCCTCTCCCTGTTCACTAGATCTCTGTGTGGAGTATATACAGACATGGTCCTATCCCTGTACACTAGATTTCTGTGTGAAGTATATACAGACATGGTCCTCACCCTGTACACTAGATCTCTGTGTGAAGTATATACAGACATTGTCCTCTCCCTGTACACTAGATCTCTGTGGAGTATATACAGACATGGTCCTCTCCCTGTACGCTAGATCTCTGTGTGAAGTATATACAGACACGGCCCTCTCCCTGTACACTAGATCTCTGTGTGGAGTACAATTGTGATCCTCTCCCTGTGCACTAGATCTCTGTGTGAAGTATATACAGACACGGTCCTCTCCCTGTACACTAGATCTCTGTGGAGTATATACAGACATGGTCCTCTCCCTGTACGCTAGATCTCTGTGTGTAGTACAATTGTGATCCTCTCCCTGTACACTGTGTATTCTGTGTGTCCATGGAGGTCTATCCCCAGACATCAAGACTATTGACCAGATCCGAACCATCGAGAGGAACCAGGAAATCCCCCACAAAGGCGCCTTCTGTGATATCCTTTTCTTGTCTTCTCTCTGTACGCTAGATCTCCGTGTGTAGTACAATTGTGAGCCTCTCCCTGTACACTAGATCTCTGTGTGTAGTACAATTGTGATCCTCTCACTGTACACTAAATCTCTGTGTGTAGTACAATTGTGATCCTCTCACTGTACACTAGATCTCTGTGTGAAGTATATACAAAAATGGTCCTCTCACTGTACACTAGATCTCTGTGTGAAGTATATACAAAAATGGTCCTCTCACTGTACACTAGATCTCTGTATGTAGTACAATTGTGATCCTCTCCGTGTACACTAGATCTCTGTGTGGAGTATATACAGACATGGGCCTATCCCTGTACACTAGATCTCTGTGTGAAGTATATACAGACACGGCCCTCTCCCTGTACACTAGATCTCTGTGTGGAGTATATACAGACATGGTCCTATCCCTGTACACTAGATCTCTGTGTGACGTACAATTGTGATCCTCTCCCTGTACACTGTGTATTCTGTGTGTCCATGGAGGTCTATCCCCAGACATCAAGACTATTAACCAGATCCGAACCATCGTGAGGAACCAGGAAATCCCCCACAAAGGCGCCTTCTGTGATATCATTTTCTTGTCTTCTCTCTGTACGCTAGATCTCCGTGTGTAGTACAATTGTGATCCTCTCCCTGTACACTGTGTATTCTGTGTGTCCATGGAGGTCTATCCCCAGACATCAAGACTATTGACCAGATCCGAACCATCGAGAGGAACCAGGAAATCCCCCACAAAGGCGCCTTCTGTGATATCCTTTTCTTGTCTTCTCTCTGTACGCTAGATCTCTGTGTGTAGTACAATTGTGATCCTCTCACTGTACACTAGATCTCTGTGTGTAGTACAATTGTGATCCTCTCACTGTACACTAGATCTCTGTGTGAAGTATATACAGACACGGCCCTCTCCCTGTACACTAGATCTCTGTGTGGAGTATATACAGACATGGGCCTATCCCTGTACACTAGATCTCTGTGTGAAGTATATACAAAAATGGTCCTCTCACTGTACACTAGATCTCTGTGTGGAGTACAATTGTGATCATCTCCCTGTACACTAGATCTCTGTGTGAAGGATATACAGACATGGTCCTCTCCCTGTACACTAGATCTCTGTGTGGAGTATATACAGACATGGTCCTATCCCTGTACACTAGATCTCTGTGTGAAGTATATACAGACATGGTCCTCTCACTGTACACTAGATCTCTGTGTGTAGTACAATTGTGATCCTCTCCCTGTGCACTAGATCTCTGTGTGAAGTATATACAGACATGGTCCTCTCCGTGTACACTAGATCTCTGTGTGGAGTATATACAGACATGGTCCTCTCACTGTACACTAGATCTCTGTGTGTAGTACAATTGTGATCCTCTCCCTGTACACTAGATCTCTGTGTGGAGTATATACAGACATGGTCCTATCCCTGTACACTAGATTTCTGTGTGAAGTATATACAGACATGGTCCTCTCCGTGTACACTAGATCTCTGTGTGGAGTATATACAGACATGGTCCTCTCACTGTACACTAGGTCTCTGTGTGAAGTTTATACAGACATGGTCCTCTCACTGTACACTAGATCTCTGTGTGTAGTACAATTGTGATCCTCTCACTGTACACTAAATCTCTGTGTGTAGTACAATTGTGATCCTCTCCCTGTGCACTAGATCTCTGTGTGAAGTATATACAGACATGGTCCTCTCACTGTACACTAGATCTCTGTGTGGAGTACAATTGTGAACCTCTCCGTGTACACTAGATCTCTGTGTGTAGTACAATTGTGATCCTCTCACTGTACACTAAATCTCTGTGAGTAGTACAATTGTGATCCTCTCCGTGTACACTAGATCTCTGTGTGGAGGACAATTGTGATCCTCTCCCTGTACACTGGATCTCTGTGTGGAGTACAATTGTGATCCTCTCCCTGTACACTAGATGTGTCACCTGCCCGACCACGTGGGTTTTCTCTGGGTACTACGGTTTGGGTTTTCTCCGGGTACTACAGTTTCCTCCCACACTAAGACTTGGAATTGTGACCCCAATATATTTACAATATGAATTGTTAGGACAGTTGACCTTAACCTTGTTTACATCTGGTATGGTCTGACCCTGAGGACGTAGAGACCTGGGCAATCAGTCCGAGGGGTGCTGGCTGGCTGTTTGGGTCAAAGGTTACCAATGAAGTAAGTATACATGTATGATGACCTTAGTGGCAGCATTCTAGGAGCTTATTCATCTATAGGCAGTGAGTCTCCTTCTACTGCTTAGAAAGTTAATATAATATTTGATAACTAAAAAGACAAAACAAGAATTATCCCCTGCTGAAGTTAGAAGGGGATAGAAAACAAACTTCAGTCATGCATCTGTGCACATAATGTTGTATACTAATAGTAATTGGCATCATTGGTGTTTGCATGGTATTGCCTTATTCCTGATCCCTAAGGAATAAAACAGTATGAATTGTAGCAATTTGAACTGTGCACAATTGTATAGTATGATGCATAGTACCCTGGACATCTATCTGATCCGGCCTTGTCTATGGAGTGAGTGATATTGACGGTCTTTTTGTCAGTTTTAAATTGAGTCTAATAGTTACTACAGACATCTAAACCATCATGCCAAGAAATATTTAGGTGTAGGATACCGGCATCTAATATTATGTTCTAATTTGTCTGTTTCAGTTTGTACACATAAACAACTTAAAATTGATATGCAGAGCACATCAGTTAGTTCATGAAGGTAAGAGCCAGTTATAAAACATACGTAAACGGGTTGGTTAGTAGCTATAGGCTAACAGTATGTGGACTAACGGTAAGTAAATGTTTGGTCTATTAGTGCTAATAGTGGATATCAAACTATGTCCCTTCTGTAGTACATATCTGATGTAAATTAAAGTTCTTTCGAAAATACATGTATACACTATATTCCTTATGAAGGCTAAAAGTATATGTCTGATGGGCATTGTAGACCATATACTGACTATACTTTGTGTGTAGATTACAAATATTATGAAATGAAAAGTTCTTTATACACTACTGACACTGTTCTTTCTGTAGGTTACAAGTACATGTTCGATGAGAAGCTGGTGACGGTGTGGTCGGCCCCAAACTATTGCTACAGGTGTGGAAACATAGCTGCAGTCCTTTCCTTCAACGATGCAGATCAACGAGAGGCCAAACTGTTCCGGGCCGTGCCCGACAGTGAACGTGTTATACCCTCACGGACGACGACACCCTACTTTCTATAGACACACAAACGATCGCAAACATAGTACTGGAACGGATTCATGTTAGATCATCCAAAGGCTGTTTATCAGTTACAAGTCAAGACAGTATTAATGCTATCGGATGTTTTTTAGTACGAGACTTTTAATCTAAAAAACATAAAACCCAATTACAAGTTGATATTGGCTCTTTTTATTGTATTGTACTAGTCAGACAAAGTACAATTAAGTAACTGTCTGTTACCTTGGTAACTCACAAAGCGTTTTACCTTGGTAACTACACAAACTGAATAACTGTAACTGTTAACTTGGTAACTAAATTAAATGAGTAACTGTTACCATGGAATCTACATAAACTGAGTAACTGTTACCATGGTAACTACACAGAGTAACTATCTGTTACTATAGTAACTGCACAGAGTAACTGTTAACAATGTATTAATATTTTGACATCGTTAAAATAGGACTGTACCTAGGTAGATTTTGCATCAAGACGATATATGTAAAATTGGTCAAGAAATTACCTCATGTCAGCTAGATTAAGTGAATAATGGCGATGTTCAGTGACTAGGAAAGTTTATCATTTGTATTCTAGAGCAATTGCATATGGTAAATAATAACAATATACTACAAACTACTGCAATGTACAAGTTTGATCAAAATGACATTTCATGAAAGAGTTCTGTTAAAAATAATAGCAGATTGAATATTACCGGTATTGACAATTGGTTGTTGGGTAATTTTCTGTGTGTTGAATTTGTCTGCTGTAACATTCATCGATAACGATTCTGTTTGCATATAACTATAATATGTGAAGGATTAAATTAATTATCAACTTAATGGTATATAATAACATGTCCAGAAATATTCCATGTCTTAATCTCCTCATGTCTTGATTTAGAGTCAAGTGTTGATAAAATCGTTTCCATTTTACCAAATGAAGAAATCATAATACATTTCAAAGTGTTGTTTAAAGGGTAACAGAATCTTAGTTTCTGCATAAATATACTGGGTAAGTTAAATTCAGATCCCACGGACATAATCAGTTTTGAAAAAAAAAAATTTTTTTTTTTTTATATTCAGTTCCATAGATTATCGATACCGTTAACTGCAAAATATTTTGAGAAATAATATCGGGTTGTAATTTCTGAAAAGTTGATTGAGGAGGTGTGAACAAGAAGTGATGTTTATTTGTGTTCATTAGGAAGGTGTATACATACACACATCATTACATGTAATGTACACATTTGATATTTGTATGAGATGTAAATAATGTATAGATGAAATAAATTGTAATTATTTTATCAACTGTTTTCATCATTGTTATTTAAGGTTTTATCATCAACCTGACCAAAGTCAAAAGTTTTAAAATACATTAATCACTTTCAGTCAGGTGACCTTTTGACAAAGTTTGATGTTTCAGTCAGGTATCATTTTCACAAGCTTTGGTGTTCTAGTCTGATGTCATTTTGATGAGGTTTGGTGTTCCAGTCGAGTGTAAATTGATGAGGTTTTATGTTCCAGTTGAGTTTAATGTTGACAAAGTTTGGTGTTCCATTCAAATGTAATTGTGACTAGGTTTGGTATATCAGTTGGATTTAGTTTTGTCTCCCTTTCGAATGATCAAATGTGTGCTAATTTTTCAGGAACATCTTGTCCGAGCTGCAACTTGTAAACCATTAAAGACATCGCGATGAAAATTGCAGTTTAACTGCATCACCTACAGGTGATGTGCAAAGAAGTGTCATTAAATCAATGAAGCATTTACCTCAAGGTCAAAGGTTAAACTAGAGCGGCGTCTGTGTGAAAACGACATTTATGAATATCTTGAGCTCATTAACTAAAGTAATACCAATAGCTGGCGGCTAACGCCTTAGCTAAAAATAATTCAAACATTTAAAGGTGTACACCAAATGCATCACCCATAGACGATGTACAGTGCACTGTGGTTAGGTCACTGCGACCTTTGACCTTGAGGTCGAATAAATGCAAAGTTTTCAGGATTATCTTGTCTGGGTCATAATTTTTAAACTGTTAAAGATGAGACATATATTTTTAGCCCACCATCATCTCATGGTGGGCTATTCAAATCACCCTGCATCCGTGGTCCGTCGTCCGTCCATTGTCCGTAAACAATTCTTGTAATCGGTATTTCTCAATAAGTACCAGAGGGATCTTTCTCAAATTTTATATGCAGGTTCCCCTTGGTCCTGAGCTGTGCAGGGCAACTTTTGAGACTGATCGGATAAACAACATGGCCGACAGGCAGCCATCTTGGATTTTGATATTGAAAGTTTGTTATCGCTATTTCTCGGGAAGTATCAGAGGGATCTTTCTCAAATTTTATATGTAGGTTCCCCTTGGTCCTTAGCTGTAATCAGGTCGCCTTAACCCAATGATGTTTTAGACCAAATATGGACAAAATTCTGTTATTCCTACAGAAGAAGAATTTTCAAGAATTTGCTAAATTACCTATTGGGGCCCCACCTCTCAGGCCCAAGGGGGGTCAGACACACCATTCACACCTCTATTTCCCCTATTCGGCCCCGCCCCTCTGCCCTCAAGGGGGCCAAACCCACCGTTTATACAAAATTGAGTCCCCTTTGCCCAAGTATGCTCCCGACTAAATAAGGATAAAATCCTTAAATCCCTACTGTAGAAGAAGGATTTTAAAGGTTTTATCTCTATTTCCATTATTTGGCCCCACCCCTCTACCCCCAAGGGGGTCACAACCACTGTTTTTACAAAATTGAGTCCCATTGGCCCAAGGATGGTCCAGACCAAAATAAGGATAAAATCCCCTAATCCCTGCGATAGAAGGATTTTAAAGGTTTTACTTCTACTCCCCCTATTTTGCCCTGCCCCTCTGCCCCCAGGGAGGCCACACCCACCATTTATACAAAATTGAGTCCCCTTGGCAAAAAGATTCTCGAGACTAAATTAGAATGAAATCCCTTAATCCCTACGGTAGCAGAAGGATTTTAAAGGTTTTACTTCAACTTCCATTGTTTGGCTCCGCCCCTCTACCCCCAGGGGGGCCACACCCACCGTTTATACAAAATTGTGTCCCCTTGCCCCAAGTATGCTCCAGACTAATTAAGGATAAAATTCCTTAATCCCTATGGTAGAAGAAGGATTTTAAAGGTTTACCTCTATTTCCCCTATTCGTCCCCGCCCCACTGCCCCCAAGGGGGCTACACCCACCGTTTATACAAAATTGTTTTCCCTTGGCCCAAGGTTGCTCCAGACTAAGTTAGAATAAAATCCCTTTATCCCTACGGTAGAAGAAGGATTTTAAAGGTTTTATTTTTATTTCCCCTATTCGGCCCCACTCCAATGCCCCCAGGGGGCCACACCCACCGTTTATACAAAATTGAGTTCAGGACTAGTAGCATTTAAAGGAAAAGTTGACGGACGCCAGACGCTGCGGTATGGCATAAGCTCGCCTTCGGACCAGGTGAGCTAAAAAGCATCCAAGGTGAAAGGTGACCAATGAAAATCCATCAGGCTGTTATATACTACAGTGTTTAAACATTTATGTTATCAAATTGCTTATACATTTAATATATATTTATCTTAGATGAAAACTGATGGGACTGGGCAGCCGGTTTTTGTTGGGAGTTAACTGAATTTACTGTTTCATTGTGTTCAGGCAATAGAACATGACCATTATGGCACATAGCAAGAAACATGTTTAAAGCAAAACCATTAACACAAAGCATATCAAGGAGTTAAATGTTTTATTACAATTTTGACATTGTAATACATGTAAAAATATTTGCATTCATATATCCTATCATAATGCAATGAAAGTTGAGGAAAGTGCCCAGTTACTACCTCATGGAGTAATATTACAGATTTAAATGAACACACTTGTAAATGTCCTTGTAAACACACCTGTTCATAAAAAAGACAAGTGACAACACACCAGTAAATGCTTGTGTCAATACAACTACAGATGTTAATGTCGATACAACTAGATTTTTGGTGTTGATACACCTGTATATGTTGGTGTTGACACACCTGTATATGTTGGTGTTGATACACCTGTATATGTTGGTGTTGACATACCTGTATATGTTGGTGTTGACACACAAGTAGATGTTGGTGTTAATACACCTGTATATGTTGGTGTTGACACACCTGTATATGTTGGTGTTGATACACCTGTATATGGTGTCGCCACACCAGTAGATGTTGGTGTTGATACACCTTTAGATATAGCTGTTAACACAACTGTAAATGTTCTTGTAAACACACCTGTATATGTTGGTGTTGACATACCTGTATATGTTGGTGTTGACACACAAGTAGATGTTGGTGTTAATACACCTGTATATGTTGGTGTTGACACACCTGTATAAGTTGGTGTTGATACACATGTATATGTTGGTGTTGACACACCTGTATATGTTGGTGTTGACACACCTGTATATGTTGGTGTTGATACACCTGTATATGTTGGTGTTGACACACCTGTAGATGTTAGTGTTGATACACCTTTAGATATAGTTGTTAACACAACTGTAAATGTTCTTGTAAACACACCTGTATATGTTGGTGTTGATACACCTGTATATGGTGTCGCCACACCAGTAGATGTTGGTGTTGATACACCTTTAGATATAGTTGTTAACACAACTGTAAATGTTCTTGTAAACACACCTGTATATGTTGGTGTTGATACACCTGTATATGTTGGTGTTGATACACCTGTATATGTTGGTGTCGCCACACCAGTTGATGTTGGTGTTGATACACCTTTAGATATAGTTGTTAACACAACTTTAAATGTCCTTGTAAACACACCTCTACAGATAAAAGACAAGTGTCAACACACCAGTAAATTACTATAGATGTTGGTGCTGATACAACTGTAGGGGCGAGTTTGATCATCAACGATTTACCATAGTAGGGCTGTTACATTCAATGTACTTACACATGCTGGTAAGCAGCAACCAAACACTGCCTTGCTTTCAAATAATCACACGTGCGATGACGACCACTAGTTGCTCTGGTCTGACCAAAGATAATTGGTAGGTTGTACTATAGTTGCCAGGCATGCGCACTGTAACTTCTTGTTTCTTTACACATGAGTGATACATGGTACTAAAGTGAGTTCGATCGTACTCTAGTTGGACCACAGTCGCCATAGTTGATGATCAAATTCGCCCTAGATGTTGGAGTCATTAAAACTGTAGTTTTGGTGTCGATACAACTATAGGTTTGGTGTCTATACAACTGTAGGTTTGGTGTCGATACAACTGTAAGTTTGGNATACAACTGTAAGTTTGGTGTCGATACAACTGTAGGTTTGGTGTCGATACAACTGTAGGTTTGGTGTCTATACAACTGTAGGTTTGGTGTCTATACAACTGTAAGTTTGGTGTCGATACTACTGTAGGTTTGGTGTCGATACAACTGTAGGTTTGGTGTCTATACAACTGTAGGTTTGGTGTCGATACAACTGTAAGATTGGTGTCGATACAACTGTAGGTTTGTTGTTGAAACAACTGTAGGGTTGGTGTCGATACAACTGAAGGGTTAGTGTCGATACGACTGAAGGTTTGGTGTCTATGCAACTGTAGGTTTGGTGTCGATACATCTGTAAGTTTGGTGTCGATACAACTGTAAGATTGGTGTCGATACAACTGTAGGTTTGTTGTTGAAACAACTGTAGGGTTGGTGTCGATACAACTGAAGGGTTAGTGTCGATACGACTGAAGGTTTGGTGTCTATGCAACTGTAGGTTTGGTGTCGATACAACTGTAGGTTTGGTGTCGATATGACTGAAGGTTTGGTGTCGATACAACTGTAGGTTTGTTGTTGATACAACTGTAGGGTTGGTGTCGATACAACTGAAGGTTTAGTGTCGATACGACTGAAGGTTTGGTGTCTATACAACTGTAGGTTTGGTGTCGATACAACTGTAGGTTTGGTGTCGATACAACTATAGGTTTGGTGTCGATACAACTGTAAGTTTGGTGTCGATATGACTGAAGGTTTGGTGTCGATACAACTGTAGGTTTGTTGTTGATACAACTGTAGGGTTGGTGTCGATACAACTGAAGGTTTAGTGTCGATACGACTGAAGGTTTGGTGTCTATACAACTGTAGGTTTGGTGTCGATACAACTGTAGGTTTGATGTCGATACAACTGTAGGTTTGGTGTCGATACAACTGTAGGTTTGGTGTCTATACAACTGTAGGTTTGGTGTCTATACAACTGTAGGTTTGGTGTCGATACGACTGAAGGTTTGGTGTTGATACAACTGTAGGTTTGTTGTCTATACAACTGTAGGTTTGGTGTCGATACAACTGTAGGTTTGTTGTCTATACAACTGTAGGTTTGGTGTCGATACAACTGAAGGTTTTGTGTCGATACAACTGTTTGGTGTCGATACAACTGTAGGATTGGTGTCGATACAACTGTAGGTTTGGTGTCGATACAACTGTAGGTTTGGTGTCGATACAACTGTAGGTTTGGTGTCGACACGACTGAAGATATCAGTGTTANGGTTTGGTGTCGATACAACTGTAGTTTTGGTGTCGATACAACTGTAGATTTGGTGTCGATACAACTGAATGTTTGGTGTAGATACAACTGTAGGTTTGGTGTCGATACAACTGAATGTTTGGTGTCGATACAACTGTAGTTTTGGTGTCGATACAACTGTAAGTTTGGTGTCGATACAACTGTAGGTTTGGTGTCGATACAACTGAAGGTTTGGTGTCGTAACAACTGAATGTTTGGTGTCGATACAACTGTAGTTTTGGTGTCGATACAACTGTAGGTTTGGTGTCGATACAACTGTAGGTTTGGTGTTGATACAACTGAAGGTTTGGTGTAGATACAACTGTAGAATTGGTGTCGATACAACTGAAGGTTTGGTGTAGATACAACTGTAGAATTGGTGTCGATACAACTGAAGGTTTGGTGTCGATACAACTGTAGGTTTGGTGTCGATACAACTGTAGTTTTGGTGTTGATACAACTGTAAGTTTGGTGTCGATACAACTGTAGGTTTGGTGTCGATACAACTGAAGGTTTTGGTGTCAATACAACTGTTTGATGTTGATACAACTGAAGGTTTTGTGTCGATACACCTGTAGGTTTGGTGTCGATACAACTGTAGGTTTGGTGTCGATACGACTGAAGATATCAGTGTTGACACACCTGTAGATATTAGTTTTAATACACACTAGATGTCTGTCAATGTTAATAGTATAAAGCTAGTGTTTTCATTTTGAACTGAAAATTGTATTTGTTTGGGGTATAGACCATGGTAATAGCTGAACATGCTGTACATGTTCCCAGTATCACTACACATGTACTACATTATATTCAAACATCGGCACACCAACTTACAACCATCATATTTTATCGATTTTCTCCTTTTCAATGCATCTTTCTCACAAACAAAAATTTGATAGACATTCAAATATTTAAACCATACATTAACTTAAGATTGCCAAAGATGAAAAGGAATTAAAGTAATGGGTGTTTGGTAAGGAGGTTTGGACACTATCACTTCACAGCAGATATCCAATCAGCAGCCCAGATTTTATCATGTCGTGTACTTCAAATTATATTTAACATTCCATGACAAGTGATGCACAAATTTAACATAATTTGTATGTATTGTATGATCAGCTGATTGTGGTGTATGATGCATATTTTAAAAACAATGATACATTATACATTTATGCTTCTAAAACATGGTGTATAGTATGGACAAGCTGAATCGAATGACTTCCCATTTGATATGTTAAATGTCTACCGGTTGGTGTCATAGTTTGCATCTGTTCTTCATAACAACAGATCCAAAAATGATCTTGGAGCCCGCCATCATAAGATCTTGTGACCTTGAATGTACCTAGGTCAAAATAATTTAATTGAACAAAGTTGATAGCCCTCTACATAAGCAAGCTACATGCAAATACCATGACCTTGGGTCTTGTAGTGATTCAGAAGTCCTATAAAGTTTTCAATACTTTCGACCCCTGTGACATTGAACAAATGTAATTGCTGTTTACCTCAGTAGGCTTTTTTACAGCCACACAATGTCCTGTACATCAACTTGTACACGCTTCAGGCTTCCATTTTAAGCTCACGCCCAAACAAGTGAAACACTCGCATATAGACTAAATAGGTATCATTTTAAATCAGGTCAAAAACTAAATTGATGTCCTTTTTGGTAGTTATTATAACATAATAATCGTTTTCATTACATGATGATAATTTTTTCATCATCATCATCATCATCATCATCTTAAAATTTATAAAGAATACACAAAAATTGATATAAAATTGTGCCTGAATACTGGGGCGAAAATGAATAAAATTTGTGCCAAAGAAAGATATAATAGAATGAGCTAATTTTAGCAAATCATTCTATTATACCTTTCTTTGACATTTTTTTTTATTCATTTTCGCCACAGTATTCAGACCAATTTCATATCAAATTTTTGTGTCTGAATACTGGGGCGAAAATAAATGAAATTGTGCCAAAGAAAGGTATAAAAGAATGAGCCAATTTTACAAACTTTACACTAATCACATGATCATATTTACAAAAATCCAGTCAATATTCTTTCTAAAATTAGGAGCTTAAATCTACAACGCGAGAACATACTAAACTGATGTAAAGTACTACATTGTATTGCTGAGTTTCAATAAATTAACATATACATTTAATAATTTCGGAATGTTTCACAAAAATTCAATGTCTTGATCTGATAAAGAATAGTGGAGATTTTTCTGCACACTGGAATTTGAGTCTGAATTAGGTTGGAATGGCACAGTAGTATCACTGAATATATTTTTATGGTCCAACACAATGTTATCATGTAAGTCAGGCGACTTCTCTATGTCAATGTCCATCTGTGATTGGTCAGATTTATTTGTGGGCGGGACATTGTTCCTCTCAGGTCCCTCCCCATTGATAAAACGCCTCTGCTGTGTTTTACACTCTAGTTTCTCCTTTAGTTCTTTCACTCTATCTTCCATCTGTAACAGAAAGAGAGATTGTCAGCGGGTCCTTCAAAACTCAAGTTAGTGCATTTTTTAATACAATTTCATACTAAACTATAAAGTGTAAATACCCATTATATATCAGCACACTGAATCAGGACAACCCTAGTGAAATCAGTACCACTGAGATAGGTTTCTAATCCTTATTTCAGAGATTTATTTGTAGCCTTTCATCACCGCAGTTATATACTTTTAAAACTGTCCTTTCTGCAAAATAATAACCTCAGAGATCTGTTTTTTGAGGCCTTCATTCTCTGTAAGAAGTATCTGGTGCCTCTCCTCTTCCTCCTTGCTGGCCACGGATTCGGACATAGCCCGCACCTCTAGGTGATTTTTCTTTGGATTTCGGCTTATTTCTACTATCTGTAACGAAATCAGACAATTGAATTTAAAAGACAATGCCTGCGAGATTTGATTTTTCCTACTGGCAGCATGTTAAAAAGTTTCTTCACAGTAGATCTGAGGGACAGTGGTGTCATAATTAACACCAACATAGTCGAAGGAACTGACCATTATGTGGTGTTGGAGGCAGACAAAAGCCTCATTGACAGGTGTGTAAGTAATGTGCATTGTTTGTATTGGGCCCATGTGTGTCCATGTGGTGTCACTATAGTTCCATCCACTCAGGAGTTTTTACAACTTTGTCTCCTTTACTATTAGATTTGTGTTCAGTTAAAGCCAAACTAATCAGGATGACAATATCCTTAATCATTTCTATTTCATGACAATACTTGACAATTTATGAAATATAAGAAATGTGATGAACAATATTACAAAAGGTCATCACATACACTAACAGTTATATGACGCAGGAACCATGTGGATAATAAACGGGGGGAAATATAAACCTACAATACATCGCTTTGTAATAAATGTAACTTACCCAGGTAAATAATTTAAAAGGTCTGCATGGGTAAGGGCTAGTCTGTCACTATCAATTAAAACAATGGGATGAGACCAGCCTCAGTTATTTCCCCATCTTACTTAACAATAACAGTAATCTAATTCGCAGACTACCTACCTTGGGTACAAATATGAGGCCCATGGACAGAAAGCTGCATAAAAGAATGGCGAGGGCTACAAAGGCAAAACTGGCATCTTGTTGATTACTGATGATAAGGGTGATGGGGGCTGTTATCACACACAGCACCTGGTAGATGGTAGAAAACAGTCACATCTAATTAGTATTTTAATCTAATAGAAAACAATCACATCTGATTAGTATTATAATCTGGTAAAAAACAGTCACATCTAATTAGTATTATAATCTGGTAGAAAACAGTCACAGCTAATTAGTATTATAATCTGGTAGAAAACAGTCACATCTTATAAGTATTATAATCTGGCAGAAAACAATCACATCTAATTAGTAATTTAATCTGGTAGAAAACAGTCACATCTAATTAGCATTTTAATCTAATAGAAAACAATCACATCTGATAAGCATTATAATCTGGTAGAAAACAGTCACATCTAATTAGTATTATAATCTGGTAGAAAACAGTTACACTTAATTAGTATTTTAATCTTATAGAAAACAGTCACATCTAATTAGTATTATAATCTGGTAGAAAACAGTTACAGTTAATTAGTATTTTAATCTTATAGAAAACAGTCACATCTAATTAGTATTATAATCTGGTAGAAAACAGTTACACTTAATTAGTATTTTAATCTTATAGAAAACAGTCACATCTAATTAGTATTATAATCTGGTAGAAAACAGTTACAGTTAATTAGTATTTTAATCTTATAGAAAACAGTCACATCTAATTAGTATTATAATCTGGTAGAAAACAGTCACATCTAATTAGTATTTCACTCTTATAGAAAACATTCACATCTAATTAGTAATTTAATCTGGTAGAAAACAGTCACATCTAATTAGTACTATAATCTAGTAGAAAACAGTCACATCTAATTAGTACTATAATCTGGTAGAAAACAGTCACATCTAATTAGTATTATAATCTGGTAGAAAACAGTCACACCTATTAGTATTTTGATCTGGTAGAAAACAGTCACACCTATTAGTATTATAATCTGGTAGAAAACAGTCACACCTATTAGTATTTTGATCTGGTAGAAAACAGTCACA